AATGCGGGGCCTCTGGCGTATTCTGACCAGAGCAGTGAATAGGACTGGCTGGGGTCATTAGCAGGCACGTGTTTGTTTTAAATATTGTGATTGATTTCCGAGAGGAAAGGAGAGATAAAAACGTGAATGATGAGAGGATCATTGATCTGCTGCCTCCTGCACGCCCCACCCTGGGGCTGGGCACAGTTTGCATGGAGTGGTGGCTGGGGTAGATGAACAGTGAGAGGAGGAGAGGCACTGAGACAGGAGGTGCAGCAGAGGAGGGGAAGCGGAGGTCGCTGGTGGGGAAGTGGAGTCAGGAGATGATTTAAAAAAAAATTTTTTTTTGATTTTTGATTTTTCACAGATTTTTGATTTTTCACAGAGAGGAAGGGAGAGGGATAGAGAGCTAGAAACATCAATGAGAGAGACATTGACCAGCTGCCACCTGTACAGAATCGAACCTGGAACCTTTCAGTCTGCAGACCGACGTTCTATCCACTGAGCCAAACCGGTTTTGGCAGGAGATGATTTTGTTGTTTTGTTTTTAACCAGAGATAGAGACAGAAGGAGCAGGAAACAGAGGGGGAAGTCAGAAAGACAAAATCCAGTCTCTTCACAGACCCGAGACAGGGAAGGCAGCAGCTGGGTTCAGGAGCTGCCTGTGCTGTTCCTGCTGGAAGCCCTGCTTTACCTGCCAGCCCTGTGGCCTTGGCCCCGGGACCCGCTCTGAGCCTCAAGGTGCCCAGCTGGGAAATGGGGTACCACCCACACCCTCTCAGGGCCGTGGGGAGATGTAGGGGATAAAGCACATAACGTGCTGGCGGGTGCCGGTCCGGGAGTGACATTCTCTTCAGTGCTCATCTCTCGCCTCACCGCCACCCCAGGGTCACACCGTTACCATAGCGACTCCATAGATGGGAGCAGGGCCCCTCCTGCTGGCTGACGCTGGAACTGCACCTCGTCCCGGTTCAGAGGCGGAACTTCCAAATCGAATTCCCCCCACAGACGGGCAATCATTTTATTCTCCAGCAAACAGATGTCACCAAAACCAGTAGGTGAGCACTCCAGAACCTTCCCGCCACCCATCGGACACTAACTGAGATGTGAGTCCACCCGCCCCCTCGGTCCTGCAGCTGCCCCGGCTCGGAATGCCCTCCCTCCTCCATTGGAATCACAAGTCACGCCTCTGACGCTTCCTAGGACCTTCTCCCCTTCACCAGCCTTACCTCCTGCAGACTGAACTACTGGAATGTTCTCTTCCATATCCCCTCAACATCTGTACTTACCTCTAGATTTGCTAGAACACCTGTCTCACCTGAGGTCAGGTATTGTCTTATTTATCAGCTGCCGGAGGGATGTTATAACGAAATCTGACCACTCATAGCCCCTACCGGAAGTCTCCCACCGTGGGCGAGGAATGAGTGTGTGTGTGTGTGTGTGTGTGTGTGTGTGTGTGTGTGTGTGTGTGTGACATGTGTGTCTCTGGATTATCCAATATTTTTACATAAGCATACCTTTTTTTTATTGTTAGTAAAGATAAAGAAATCTGCCTGGCAGGTATGGCTTAGTGGTTGAGCATTGATCTATAAACCAGGAGGTCACGGGTTCAATTCTGCCAGGGCACTTGCCCGGGTTGTGGGCTTGATCAAGCAAGTGTGGGGCGTGCAGGAGGCAGCCGATCCCTCTCATCACTGATGTTCCTACTTCTCCCTCTCCCTTCCGCTCTGAAACCAATAAAACAGCATTTTTTTTAAAAAGAGAAGGGAAATCCTTCAGGGCTTCCTGGTACTTTCAAATTCCCTAGCAAAGCTTACAGGATGGGATCCGGCCTCTGCTCGATTCCCCCCTCCTCCCTGACCGCCCCTCCATTAAGCTCCAGCACGACTGGCACAGCATGGGCAGTGGCACAGCATGGGCAGTGGACGTGCCTCACACAGGCCGCCCGGCAGGCGTGTGCGCTTCCATTACCCGCTCCCACACGTCCAGCCCGGTTTAGTTGAGAGGCGACTCCCCACTGCCACGGTGTGCGCACACGCACAATGAAGGATCCAGACAGTCAGGATGTCCTGACTCTCCGTTTCTGGTTTAGATAATGGTTAGCGTATGTTAGGCAACTGTCACCAAACAGCAGATCCTGGCCGGGATCTCCTGGAAAACGGGCTGGTTTGTCAATGTGTCCTTCTCCAGGGGATTCGCCCCCTTGTACCACCCTGGGCAGGAGAACATGGGCTGTCCTCTCCCTCCTTCACACATGGCCCATCATACATAGGACTTGGGGGAAACCCGTGGTCACTTCTCACCCAGGGTGGACTGTGTCCTGGGATGAGGCGAGGCCATGTCCTTCCACAGCAAGATGCTCACCTGATCATTTGTCAATCCTCGTGGTGAACAGGAGGGGCTCACCTACTCACGTCTAGAGCTGCAGGAAGCGAGAGAGGAAGCTGAGCCCCTGCTGCAGCGCTCATCTCTGAGGGGCACGAAATCATGATCGGAACAAATCAGAAAAATAGTGCCCGGCAAGCCAGGCTTCTACACCTACAAGCCTCCTTACATCACATGACCACCAAATTCAAGCACTCCTGCTTCCACTAAAATACACTGGGCCCTTGAAGAGAAAGATGAACAGCTTTGCAGGCTGGGATAGTCTGTTGAGCCTTGAGACACAAATGCAAGTTTCACTCTGCAACTCAAATGCTGGAACCAAATAGTACAGGGCACAATCTCTCACCAATGACTCATTTTACTACGTAAACTAAGTCTTAAATCCTTTAAGGTACCACCCAGGAACTTACCATTTGCAAAACAAACTCTTAACTGCAAATGAATACAGCCCCAGCCCGCTGAGCAGTGTTCTACCCGCGTGCCACACACATCCTTCACCAGCTCGTCCTGCAGGCTGCGTAAACCTGTGCTCTGGATTCAGACTAGTTCCAATCCTGACTTCACTTAGTGGGATGCTGGGGAAGTCTATTTTGCCCCTGAGCCAGTTTTCTCATCTATAGAATGGGGACAAAAGCGGTATTCCTCTTGGGGCTATGCGAGTTCAATGACAGGCTGGAAACGGCTGGCAGGCAAGGCAGGTGCTGTGTGTGTCTAACAGTCATCTTTGCTGCCACCAGGGGAAAGTGCTCTCCTGAGATGAAGACTTGTTTTTAGAGGCTGATGATGTCAGCTTCCTGGACACTGGTGCTTCTGTGGGCCTGTTTTTTTGTTGTTGTTTTTTAAAATATATTTTATTGATTTTTTACAGGGAGGGAGAGTGAGCGAGCTAGAAACGTGGATGAGAAACATGGACCAGCTGCCTCCTGCACCCCCCCCCCCACCGGGGATGTGCCCGCAACCAATGTACATGCCCTTGACCGGAATTGAACCTGGGACCTTCCAGTCCGCAGGCCGACGCTCTACCGCTGAGCCACACCGGCTTCGGTTGTGGGCATTGTAACGGCTGCTGCTGCTGCTGCCAGTCCACTGTGGGCCCAAGGTGCATCCGCAACACAAAGCCACCTACATAATTCTCACCACCCACCAAGTGCACTTCCTGACAGAGGCTCCTGTATGCAAGACACATCCATTCCACTCCAGCTCTGGCTGAATCCCTTCTGAACCTACTCAACTTTAGTGCCCGAGCTGCCATTGGAGCCAGAGGGCAGACGACCAGTTTAAACCATGCCCACTCCAGGTCATGGCCCCAAGCCCAGTCTCCTGTCACCTCTGTGGTTCTGCCTCCTGATGGATGGCTGGCATCTCTCAACCCACGTGGTTCCGTAAGGTTCCATTCTGGGGGCCAGAATCTCTAATCAAGAGTTTCTGCCTTCATTAGGGGGTGTTCTCATTTGTGGAAATAAAATGGGGACAGGGCACCACCTCCCAAACCCGACAGCATACCTTTGGCAGCATTTCCTAACGTCAGTGGGAATCGGTGATGGTGACGGAATCACAACTGCGCCGGAATGCCAAAAGTTACGTTTAATTTACAATGTAATAAAGGTTACAGGTAAAAAGCTACACATAAAGCGTGAAAAGGCCTATTACACAAATGTACAAATCTCTATACAAAGCTCTTATCGATGTTTCCTACCTTCGTCTCCTATGTCCATTAGCCCGGTCTCATCTCAGAGCTTCGGGTAACAAGAGCTCTCAAAAGGGGGAAGCGCCTCCAAACCAACATCTAAAATGTCTTCTCAGAGGCATCAGTTATTGAAAGTAAAATCTTTTCCTAATTGGAGTTGTTCTAACTGGTCAAATGCTTTAAAAATTGCCTTCATAACACACTTGAAAAGGAAAGCCTTGGAGAGTACAGTGCTCTGGAACCAAATGAGAAACTTCTGCGAGTAGAGAGTACTCAGGTTTGAAAAGAAAAACAGGTACATTTCAAAGTAATAAGTTTAAAACTATCAACCTGTGTCTATGGCGTTCACTGGTCACAGACCCACGATCAATCAAAATATTCTCATTCCAACTGAAAGGACAAAAGAGAAAAGCCAAACTACTGGACCTCAAAACCCCTGACCCAGAAAAACATTTTTGAACTTAAGCTTCACTGAAGGATTTTAACCCTTTTTATCAGCCTCTGGCCCATGGCGGCCCTTTGCTGTGTGGACCCTCCAGGGAGAGTAAATGCAAATTAGGCTGTTGGACCCTAAGGCTGGTGATGCCACGGCCACCTCCCCAGCTCTAAATCCGACTCTTTGGGCCCTGAGTCTCTCCACAGAGTACATGACTTAAAATAAAAATAACCCTGGAAAGAAGGAAGAAAGAAAAAGGTCATGGAGACCTGGGAGGCTCCAGGGCACCAACTTAAAATGATGTATAAAACGTTCTACACTGGAAGTGTCCTGAAGAGCAGTCTTTAAGGGATATTCCGACCCCACCCCGTTTTGATATTAGATGTTTAGGACCCAGGAGACATTCTGAAAGACGATACTGCACACATGGAAAAATTTCTCCCAAGTTCATCAGCTCCCCCAGCACCCTTCCACCCAATCCCCCCGACCGCACCCTTTTCCACGACAAAAATATCAGATCAGTAAGGAAGGCGTCGGCTTCTTGCCCGGCCATGCTTCTTTTGCGTATTTCTTCTTCTTGGGTTCGTTTACGGCTTCGGGGATGTAGACTGTAGGGTTTGGTGTGGGATTCATGTTCACTGCTGATGGCACAACAGGAGTCAAGTCCACATCGGGGGCGAGGTTTGGGTAGGGCATGGGCAAACCGCCGATGAGCGCTGTCCCATGGATGCCATGGGGCTGGGAGCCCGCCTCATTGTGTGTGGGTGGCAGGCCCCCGTAGAGTCCCCCACTGAAGGCAAAGTTCTGCATCCGCCTGCTCCCCAGTTCCTCCAAGCCCAGGGAGCCAGGGCCTTCCATCCGCTTCTTCTGTGGTTTACAGGGAACAGAGCAGACAAAAGGTGAGGCACAGGGTGGTGCTAATTAGCCTTTTCTATTCTAGCCCTAACATACTGGGGAAGGCGCCTGAACCTCAGGCTTATTTTGTTTCCCAGACAACCTATTTCCCAGTCCTGAAATCTCAATGACTAAAGAGATTTTATAATGGTCCTCTAATGAGATGGATCCACATAAAGTACTTACCAACCTAAGCCACAATGAGAAAAATGAGGATAGTGTATGTTTTATAAAGTAAACCTCATCCAGTTTAAGTGACTATCCTTAGCTTGTCATATCTCTCCTCTTTTTTGGTGCTAAAATGCCCTTTTAGAAAATAGGTGATAATGGGTGGTAGTAGGTATTTAAATTTGGAGGGGGTGGTATTTATCTATTTATCAAGTTAGTATTTATCTTCATGTTGGGCACCAATTTTCTAAACAGTAATCTCAGAGCAAAACAAATGTGTAGTGAATGAAAGAAGTTTACTGGTTGCCTTGGGCTGGGAGTGGAAGGGAACTGACAGCAGAGGGACATAAGGACTTTTCTGGGTGATGGAAATCTTCTATATGTTGATAAACCAGTGGTATACATTTGTCAAAACTCAAACTGTACACTTACCATGTGTGCATTTTACTGTATGTAAATTATATCATAATAAATCTGATATAAAAGTAAAAATATCTTCTGGTTTTGTACTTTAATGACAACAGAACATTCCAAAAAGAGAGAAAAGAGCTCAAGGGGAAATGTGACATGAGCACTATGGAGTTGCACAGAAAAATTCCACCCTGTACTTTTTCACAAGAGACTAAAGAAAGTTCATGCAAGATTCCTCTCACTTCTCTATTCCTTTTGAATTAAACAAAGATTAACCTGGAATTTGACATACACTCTAGTCTAATATATTCTAAAGACTTTAAAAAAAATAAAACTCTGTTCATTGCAAGTACATAAAAATATAATAGATTTTTGTGCACTGAAAACAAACAAAATCTCTATAGCATCTCTGACCAGCATTTTCCAATTACTTTTTAAAAAAATATATTTTTATTGATTTTAGAGAGGAAGGGAGAGGAAGAGAGAGAATCATTGACCAGCTGCCTCCTGCATCCCCCCCACTTGGGATCAAGCCTGCAATCTGGGCATGTGCCCTCGACTGGAATTGAACCTGGGACCCTCAGTCTGCAGGCCGACCCTCTATCCACTAAGCCAAACCAGCTAGGGCCCAATTACTTTTTTAAAAAAATATATTTTTATTGATTTTTCACAGAGAGGAAGGGAGAGAGAGAGCTAGAAACGTCAATGAGAGAGAAACATCGACCAGCTGCCTCTTGCACACCCCCTACCGGGGATGTGCCTGCAACCAACATACATGACCCTGACCGGAATCGAACCTGGGACCTTTCAGTCCGCAGACCGACGCTCTACCACTGAGCCAAACTGGTTTCGGCCCAATTACTTTTTTAATACCTCTATTTACAGGGATCCCAGTACTTAAAGGACTATTTATTCCTAGCTGTCAGGTAGTTCCTTCACATGTTTAGCAATCAGAACATCTCTGTAACTTCCATCTCTTAGTTCTCCAACATACCTGGTCTTTATAAGCCTCATCAGGTTTGGGCTGGCTTTCCTGTCTGTGCCACTCCCAGGCATAGCAGAAGGCAGCAGTGCCATGCAGAAATACAGCAATGCCTCTTTCCTGCCTAATAGCTACTCTGAGTGAAAAGGAAAGGCTAAGGAAAGGTGGGCCTCTCTGCAGCCTGCGGGAGGTAAATTTATATCGCACCGTAATTTACACACAGCAGCAAGCTGGCTGGTCCCCTGCAGCCCTACTATGAGCTCCAGAATCCTCGAGACATAGATGGAGTAAAAGTATGACCACAGGGTAAAAAAATGGGAGAGGAGCAAAGGATGTGTTTTAAAATTAAGTACACCCGCCGAAACCAGTTTGGCTCAATGGTAGAGCGTCGGTCTGCGGACTAAAGGGTCCCGGGTTCGATTCCGGTCAAAGGCATGTACCTTGGTTGCGGGCACATCCTCGGTAGGGAGTGTGCAAGAGGCAGCTAGTCGATGTTTCTCTCTCATCGACGTTTCTAGCTCTCTCTCTCCCTTCCTCTCCATAAAAAAAAGTCAATAAAATATATTAAAAAAAGAAAATTAAGTACACCTAACCTATTTATAAAGGAGTGGATTTTTAAACCAGACTATATGAAATGGCAGTTCAAATGTGCTTCCTACCTTTACTGGGACCACTGCAGTCTGTACCATGTTCCGGAAACGTCCAACTGAGGGATCCACGTCCTCTGCAGAAAGACATGAGGGAAGGATTAGTGGGGCATTCCATGGGGAGGGTTAATGGAACAGGGTTCACTACAAACAAAGCAATCATAACACGTATTAAAACAATAAAATACAGCTAACACGTCAAGTGTTTCTATGTGCGGGCACTGTTTTAAATCCTCACAACTAGCCTATGAGGTGAGCACAACTACAATCAACTTTTTTTTAAAACATTTTTTAATATTTTTATTTTTATTTCAGAGAGGAAGGGAGAGGGGGAGAGATAGAAACATCAATGATGATAGAGAATAATTGATTGGCTGCATCCTACATACTCGATGCTGCGGATCTGAGACCACAACCTGGACATCTGCCCTTGACTGGAATCGAACCCGGAACCCTTCAGTCCCCAGGCCGACGCTCTATCCACTGAATCAAACCACCTAGGGCTACAGTAAACATTTAATAGCCAAGAAGACACCTCAGGCTAAGAGGAGTAAAGTGATGGGCCTAGTCCCTTATGGAAGAGTGGAGGAGATAGGATTTAGTCCAAGTAGCCAGAACAGGACTGGACCACTGTGCTGTGCTGCCTTCCCCGAGTTCTTTCTCATTCCATATACTTCCCTCTTTTGAGGGAGAAAGCAGAGTACATAGCAACGATCCCATGATAGTGATAAAATAATGACATGTCAAGAGGTCACACACCACCTATCTTGGTAATGCCCACTCATTAGCAAATAACAGAATTAGGATTCAAATCCAGGGCTTCCAACTTTACTTGGCTTTTTGACCTGAACTGTATAAAATCAAGACTTTTACTGCCATGGCCAGTATGCTCAGTAGTTAGAGTATCGGTCTGCCTACGGAAGGGTCATGGGTTTGATTCCCCATCGAGGGCACAGATTTGGGTTGCAGGTTCCATCCCAGGCTTGGTCATGGTGCATGCGGGAGGCTATCAATCAATGTGTCTGAATCACATCAATGTTTCTCTTTCTCTCTCTTTCTCCTTCCCTCCCTCCCTCTACTCTCTCTAGAAATCAATGGGAAAAATATCCCCAGTGAGGAGTAATTTTCTACACACACTCACACACATACACACACACACACACACACACGGATTTTTACTAAAGGATCTGAAGCCCTCATCCAGGCAGAGTGGGAGAGCAGCTCCCTTTTCACAGCTTACACGTTATTATACCTTACAAATTTCTAGCTTCATTCACTCTACAGGAAGAAAGAGATAAGACCAAGTACGGGACATGTTTGCATGTGAGGCCAGTAGTTTTTTAAGTCACTTGGCCAAGGTCATATAATTACTAAGAGGAGAGGTGGATTTCAAACCCAGGCCCTCTGATTTCAGAGCCCATACTCTGAACCTTTATGCTATATTCTGCCTGAATACAGCATCTTAATAAAACTCTGGGGCAATTATTTTCCAGAAGAAAAACAAAGCAGATCAGACACTGAGTCCTGAGAAAGGCTTAATGTTTAGTCCAGTAATTCCTGTTACTGACTGTTCATCAATACAATAATAGCTTGTTTGAAGCTGCAAGTTTTTAGGCCCAACCTCTGGAAACTTACTCAATAGATTCCAGGGCTCAGAAATAAGTTTCCTAGATTGGTCATAAAGCTCGTGACTAAACATTTCCCTCGGGCATTCAATACTTTTAGGAGTAATCCTTTCCACTTCACACACCATCAGAAAGTAAACTTGTCAATAGAATGAATGCCTCAATCTCTTTCAGAGAAATCCTTTTTAAAAAAAATATATTTTATTGATTTCTTACAGAGAGGAAGAGAGAGAGATAGAGAGCTAGAAACGTCGATGAGAGAGAAACATCGACCAGCTGCCTCTTGCACACCCCCTACCGGGGATGTGCCCGCAACCGATGTACATGCCCTTAACCAGAATCAAACCTGGGACCTTTCAGTCTGCAGACCAACGCTCTACCACTGAGCCAAACCAGTTTCAGCCAGAGAAATCCTTTTAATTCTTCTAAATATAAGGATTCATTGTTGCTTTAAAATATATATTTTATTGATTTTTTACAGAGAAAAAGGAAGAGGAATAGAGAGTTAGGACATTGATGAGAGAAAAACATCAATCAGCTGCCTCCTGCACACCTTCTATTGGGGATGTGCCCGCAACCAAGGTAACATGCCCTTGACTGGAATCGAAACTGGGATCTTTCAGTCTGCAGGCTGACACTGTATCCACTGAGCCAAACTGGTTAGGGCTCATTGTTGCTTTTTATGCTGAGCCAAATACTTGCTACTCACTAGCTCTGGTTTTGCCCACTGTTCCTTTGTTAAGGTTAGTCCTGCAAATATCCGACCACAGTGGGCATGCCTCCAGTGTCTCTCTTGTGCATGGTTCCCTACAATTCCCAGAATTCAGGGCACTGTTTTCCGTATATATGAGTCTTCTCCTTCCTCACATATTTATTTGATGGTTAGGGCCATGCTTGTATTTAGTAACATATATGGACGAGTTAGGCTCAGAACACAGACCAATGGAGTCACTGTCCCCAATTCTTCTATTAATCCAATCTTACACTGCATCTGATTAGTTTTCACATACTTCTAATGACTATTCTCTCTCTCTCTCTTTTTTTTAATCCTTACCCAAGGATATTTTTCCATTGGTTTTTAAGAAAGTGGAGTAGAGAGGGAAACGGAAGTATTGATGTGAGAGAAACACAACAATTGGTTGACTCCTGCATGAGCTCTGACCAGGGCCGGGCCGGAGAGGAGCCTGCAACCAAGGTATGTGACCTTGACCTTAATCGAACCCAGGACCCTTGAGTCCATAAAACTGCATTTTCAATTAACTAAAATCCCTTGATCTTTTTTTTTTTTCCTCCCATGCTGGAACAGACCATCTCCATTTAAATAATTGATATTTTGAACCTAAAAGCAGGACTTGAAAGTGATTCTCACTGCATTTTACTTTGGAAATTAAAAGCAACTTGTTAGTCTGAGATCCTTGTTTTTTCTATTCATTGAGATTTATTTTCAAACAAATTTTCTTTTTAAAAAAATATATTTTATTGATATTTTACAGAGAGGAAGAGAGAGAGAGAGAGAGAGAGAGCTAGAAACGTCGATGAGAGAGAAACATCGACCAGCTGCCTCTTGCACACCCCCTACCGGGGATGTGCCTGCAACTAATGTACATGCCCTTCACCAGAATCGAACCTGGGACCTTTCAGTCCACAGACCAACGCTCTACCACTGAGCCAAACCGGTTTCGGCCAAGTTTTCTTTTCTTTTTTTCTTTTTTTTAAATATATTTTATTGATACTTTACAGAGAGGAAGGGAGAGAGATAGAGAGCTAGAAACGTCAATGAGAGAGAAACATCGACCAGCTGCCTCTTGCACACCCCCTACTGGGGATGTGCCCGCAACCAATGTACATGCCCTTGACCGGAATCGAACCTGGGACCTTTCAGTCCGCAGACCAACACTTATCCGCTGAGCCAAACCGGTTTCGGCCAAGTTTTCTTTTTAATCCCAATTCCATTTTCACTGTGTAACTGTACCTCACAGCTCTACATCATCTACCTACCAGAGTACTTAAGGTTCAACATAGGTCCAATAAATAAATTTTGAACATAGGTCCAATAAATAAATGTTGTTTTAAAAAAATATATATTTTATTGATTTTTTTTTTTTTTTTTACAGAGAGGAAGGGAGAGAGATAGAGAGTTAGAAACATCGATGTGAGAGAAACATCGATTAGCTGCCTCTTGCACACCCCCTACTGGGGATGTGCCTGCAACCAAGGTACATGCCCTTGACCGGAATCGAACCCGGGACCTTTCAGTCCGCAGGCCGACGCTCTATCCACTGAGCCAAACCGGTTTCGGCCCAATAAATAAATATTGAATGGTGGAACAAATTGGTAGTTAGTGGCCTTCCCATAGTACAATGCTCTTATCTTACTGACATTTCATACAAACTATAAATTACTTCCTTCTAGAGAGGCAAGTCTTCAATGCAGTTAGTAATAGTGGCAGCAGAAGGTTCTCCAGTGTATGAGTTACTACTCATACACAGAACCCCATAAAGACAATAACATTCTGCTTTGAGGTCAAGATAGAAAACACTTATGCTTAACTTAAACCTCAACTATGACACAGACATTCTGGATCAGCAGAGAATTACAGCCTTGCTCTGTATGCTGAATTAAATGGACCCTCTTGTTAGCTATTTCTTCCACAGAGCAAATGGATAATCCCTGAGTTGTTGAGAGCACTCCACCAATGAACTGTAAAAACTCTCTCTCCTTAACATAGCACCTATTATCCTAAACCTTGGAAACATTACATCTGACCTATAGCTTGTGTACACTACTCTCTGTGACCATAGCTTTTTCATCAGAAGAAGCTAGAAAGACACCTCACCTGGGTTGATGATCTCATCATCCTCACTGAAAGTCACCCGTGAATTCTTCCTCTTCCTCTTTGGTCTCTGAATATCCAGATTCCCCTCCTCAATGGTGAGGGTGGAAATCCGCTTGTTGTGGGCAGTGTTGAACTCTGTCAGGTTCTAGGCCAGGGTACACACAGGGAAAGACAAGTCAGTACACACAGCATTTGAAGCAGAGTATCTCACTAAATGAAGGGCAGAAAGGCATGAGGGCTAACCTTGACTCCCCCAGACAAGATTCTCCTCTGTATTCAGAAAGAACTCATTACTATCCCCAGATTACTAATATTTATAAATCACCTTTGACAGAATGTGCCCCTTTTGACTAGTGCGGCAGTGATATGCAAAAGGAAGTGAGTGCCTTGAGCTGAGAACAGGTCACCTGTACAAACATCTTTGAGTTGAGGTTTTGTTGTTATTTTTTTATTGACTTCAAAGAGGAAGGGAAAGGGAGAGAGAGAGAGAGAACGTGATGAGAATCACTGATTGGCTGCCTCCAGCATGCTCCACACTAGAGATCAAGCCTGCAACCTAGGCATGTGCCCTGACCAGGAATGGATCTGTGACATCCTGGATCATAGGTTGATGCTCAACTACTGAGCAACACTGGCCAGATAAGATTTGCTTGTTTCTAAGAAAGCTTATCATGTCTTTATGCCGAGAATTAAAAGAATGTATCTGGAAGAAACTCCAATAATTCTTTTAAAGTAATAAAACAGTGATGAGAAAGGATGATTGGCAGCTTTCTTCCCAGCAACTCTCTTTGAGAACTCACAAGGACATTGTCAGTGCACTTCACACTTGGCATTAATATTTTGTCACTCCCCATTCCTGGGTACGGTCCCATTTCTATTCATAACCGTCCATCCATCTCAATGATTGACTTGGCCTCAGCACTGCTGCCTGCCTCTTCCCAATCCTCTGGACTTATTCCAATCTGCACTGCAGTTTAAGATATTCAAAATATCTTGAGAATAAAGACCCAGAAAGGACCTCACATACAAATTTAAAATAAAGGAAAGCAAGGAAGAAGTCTGGAGGAGAAATGGGTAAGAGTGATCACCATCAAGGCCTCTAGCTATGAGGCTACTTTTTTAGAACAAAATAACTTCTACATTTTAAGATTTCCCTGCTGCTGGCTGGGACACTGCCTTAGTGTAACAGAATAGTAAGTGCACGTGGGTGGTTAAGGACATGCTTACATATGGTCTACCTAAATAGACCAGTCACACCAGTGCAGTGACTGACATGTAAAGGCTGACAGCCACATCACATATTGGGGCCAGCCTCTAGAAAAGGAAAATTTTAGCACTTAAATAAAATATTGTAAAATTCATAGCCTTCAGGGCAGCCAGGCCCATAAGAACAAAACCAGTATAGCTCTATTCAGAGGATCCCTGGGCTATTTGGACAACATCAAGAAAGCAATGTAAGTGAATGAAAGCTTCAACCAAAGTCAGTGCTGTCCAATCGAACTTTCTGAATCATGACAATGTTCTCTTTTTGTGCCATTCAACATGGAAGTCACTAGCCACATGCGACTGTCGAGTATTTGAAATGTGGTTAATAGCCACCGCATTTGATAGTGCAGCTCTAGAAAACTTTTAACTCCCAGCCTTGGCTTCTAATATCCAGTGAAGGTGCATAGACAACCATGAGGGTGTATTGGCAAGAGACCAGTTTCCTTGTTACCCCTGGTCATACATAACCAAATCGCACAATGTAGCTCTCCACAGTGTGTCACAGTTGACCACCTCATAACTGACAAAGTGGCAAAGGCCCATCACTGGGCTCAAGAAAACCTCCTGCTAAGTCTTTGGCATTTCAAGCTACACAGACAGCTACATAATGGAAAAACTAGAGTCCCAAAAGACAAAATAATGACAGAGACGTGGAATTACATCAAGTTCGGTTTCCTCCTCTGGAAGCCCCAGTAAGCCCTTGAGTTCATCATCCTCTCCACCCATCTTCTCATCTCCTTTCACAGCCGATGGCAATGTCTGAGGCTTCTCACGTAGAGTGTATGCCCTTGTGGATGCGCCAAATGAGACTGTGGAATCGATGGGAATTTGCTGAGGCTTGTGAGGTTCCAACCGAATGTGACCCAAGAAAGTGCCGTGTGCTGGGAATAACCAAATCAAAAATGTAAGAGAAAAAAACCAACCTGAGTTGTAGGAGAGCAGCTCCTCCCAGCATTATCAGTTCTGCTTTTTAAAACAAAAATGACACTGAGTCCACTTTGCATCCCTTGTCATGGGTCACAATGAAAAGGAAAACTCCTTCACTGGGTCTTGAATCTCTTCAGTGGAATTCTTACTCATCTTCAGACCTGCTGTTAACCCAGATAACAAATACCACTGCTTGCTCTCTGCTGCCAGACAGGCTTGGCTCCATTCTGGGTCCAGCAGGAATGGCTCCAACCCAGCAATAACCATGCCACCCAAGAGAGGAGACAGGCATCGCTGTGGTCTGACCTCTCCAGCCCCACGTCTAAGGAATACAGGCCCTCGTGGCAGTTATGCTTGGGTTTTCCCCAGAACAGGAAAGGAGGTTGGCTGAAACAGGTTCATTATCAATACCAAGGCAAGCCAAAATCTTACTGCTGAGTCTGAATATTTTTCTACATGTTATAAAATGGACAGAAAAGATGAGATAAATTTGCAAATAAGTACTTGTGAGACAAGGCTTTCCAAAACCATTATATCTGCAGACTAGGGTTGGGTATGTGTTGGAAAAGTGGGGAAGGAGCCCAGGAAGCAGGATCCTTTAATTTTACACTGTATTTACATAGGGAAGAAGTGAAAAACTTCAAAGCTCCATGCAGGTAAGTCTCAACTGCATTTCTGAGATTATCTTTGGCAAAGTTGAAAATCTTTTTTTATTTTTTATTTTTTTAAATATGGAACGCTTCACGAATTTGCGTGTCATCCTTGCACAGGGGCCATGATAATCTTCTCTATATCATTCCAATTTTAAAACATGTGCTGCCAAAGTGAGCACAAAGTTGAAAATCTTATTAGTTGAATATATTCACGAAATTAAAATTTATATTATTAGTTAGTCAAAGCAGAATGTAACTGGGATAAAGAACCTTTTTAAAAAAATTAAATATTGCTCAAACCAAGTATTGCTGTTACTGTCTTGCACCACTACTCTATCATATTAATGGAGCTCACCACGGCTTCTGCCTAAAATGGACCACAATTTATCATGGTCCTGTAAACACTTAGATACCCATAATCCCTAGCTCCTGAGTGTTTTTGTTGAAGTTGTTCTCTATATATATACCTAGTGCCTCCTCCAGGACAGTCCTCCCCAAAACCCTCTTCTCTCTCCAGTCATCAATTATTCAGGAAAATAGGCGGTATCACAGGAATCGAGAAGAGTTGATTTAAAAATCAAATGTAAACTTCTTCCTTGATGAATAATAAAACACAATTTTGAAACTGAAGAACTTAAAGAGAATTTTCACATTGCCCAAAAGAAACGTAAGACAGAATGGGATGTGAGTTACTTACTACTATTGAGATCTATTAGAAAAACTCTCTTCAGATGCTTGTGGTAGACCAAGGCAGCGTGGACCCGAGAGCAAGACTGGTGGTCAATGGTAAAGTCACACAGATCAGGGTTTCTCCCAAATAAGTAATATTTCTTCTCATCAATAATCAGTTTCTAAATAAACATTAAATTAAATGTTACTTAAATAGTCTCAACAGGGTTAAACAAAAATTCTTCTAATCAAATAAGTAGAGGATCTTGAATAGAAAAATTCCTTGCCACAGTGAAAAAAATTTACTTCCTATTATTCTTTAAGATAAAGAGCTCAGAATAACTTTCTAACATGTTGAGGGATAGATGACAACATCCCCAAATGTAGTGGTCAAATGTTTAGTGCTGATATGAAAAGTAGTTTTCTTACTAATTCTATTACGTAAAAGTGACCTGCAAAAGGGGTTGTCTTCTGTCCATTGGAAATTTAAGATTCAACGGACAGTAATTTTAGGTCAAGCAAGAAATAAGAACACAAAGCATGTTTATAAAGTAATGACTGCTTTTCAGAAACATATAACCAAAGGAAGACTATCAAATGATTAGGAAAGAAAGGGGTTATAAATACCTATTTATATTCGAATCATGCTATCATAGCCCCAACGTACTTTTGAAATACTCTGAGCTGAATTTAGCTTTATAAGAAACTTACAACACTGACCTTATTTTTCTTTTAATATGGGTTAGTAAACCCTGACACAGCCTGGCTGTAAACTGAGCTGTCAAAGACAAAGGACTCTAGGTAAATTTTTTCTAGCACTTTTACCAGTTTTAAAAGTCTACAATCTGACCATTTTAAAGAATAACCCTTTCAAGGTTTCATTAAGCTCTAGTTTCACACGACCCTCCTTCTAAAATCCCTGAGAGAAGACAGCACAACGCTGAGCAGAGAAGCACAGTCAAGTTAGTATGGTTCCAGGCTAGGAATTAAGAGGTTTATATTTCATTCCTGGCTATGTCACTGAACTCACTGAGGGTTACTATTCTCCCTTATGCTTTAGTGTTCCCCTTACAAGATCAGAAATATACCTCATGCACTGATGACAGGAACAGCCGGTGGGTATTTATGTGCCACATACCGTGGTATGTATTTTATGCTGTCATTTCACCCTCACAACCACTCTATGTGGTGGGCACATACTATTATTCCTATTTTTATAAATGACAAAACTAAGGAATAAAGAAATTAACACATTCAAATTCACACAGCAAGATATTTAAAAGCTAAATTAGAAATTCAGAGAGGCAGAAATCTGTCTGACTTCAGAGTCTAAGCTCTTTTAACCATATTATATATTTTTTCCACTCTACCTGCATCAGAAAATGCACTATATGGCAAGGAACATTTTAATGAATGAACAACTATAGGGCACATTCTTAATTTTTTTTTTAAAACCATCACTTACCCAGTTTCTTTCAACATTAGCCTTAAGGTTCAAAATTAGTTCAAGCTAGTCTAGGTATGTGGGTCACAGCTGGGAAACGCTGTCCACAGTGACCATCTGCTACTGACAAGGCTTGTTCCAGTCCCAGACTATACTGCTAGGCAGCAGCAAGACCGAACAGCCTGACAGCTCAGTAAGACGATTATCCCTAGGTCTGCCTAAACTCAAATTTTAAGATTTGGGTTAAATATAAGACACTGCTTTAAAACTGAGAGTTTTTAAGTTTCAACATCTTATTCTTTAAGTAATATCTGTGTAGGTGGAATCTACTGCATTTTTCATTTATATTTATATGCACCAGATTATGCCTTCACAAACTTAAATTTGCCAACCCCAGGACTCATTGGCTAACCTCAAGGAAACAGTACATAAGACCACCAGATCTTGGGCTCTAATACACCACTGACCAAATCTCTGTTTCTAAGGTACCAGAGACATACCAGAGATGTAGGTGTTTACAGGGTGAGGGGAAGTGAAAGGTCCTCCAAATTAAATATATACATTCATTATTAAAGACGTCTCAATTACAGAAACATAAAAATGTAGTGGGAAAATAGTATGTCTCAGAATTAAGGAAATCTGTTAACTCCTAGACAATGTACTTTCTCTGTCAAGTAAATAAAATAATGTCTTGGTTTTTCAAAGACACAATTTCTTGACTAGCTATGGCTGATACCGTTATCCAGTTGTGCCACTGAGTTATAACTCAGAGTGCGTCTTTACACACTGGGCTAAAAAGACTCACGGCTTTTGTTTTAATATTGCACTTCTTAAACCCAGCTATCACAACACATCACCAGCCTCTGTCACAAGGCTAGGACATAGATAGCTCGGCTAGTATCAAGTGCTGCCTAAAACTTTAACAATAAGCACATAAAGCTGTTCCTCTCAGAAACAGCACAGTGATGTCTAAAGACTGCAACTTGACAATTGTATGGCAACTCAGCACACCTAAGAGCAATGAAAGACAGAGAACATTATCAGTTAATAGAAATCAGTATCAGAGGAATGTCTGACAACTAACAGCACTTTAAAAACATAAAGGAATGTGATATAATCATTAAGGCCTGGCCTCTTGTTTCTTCTTGTTGCAAACTGAAGATTTATTAAATTCTAATAACAAAACAGATTTCTATGTCTTCAAAGCTTCATGCTATTTGGCGACAATATTTTATATCTGTGAAACAGTCTATAAAATAGGTTTTACAGACAATTTAGCAAAATTATTTCATTGAATAATCTTGAAGTGTTTTAACTTTTAAAATAGAACTCTGCACTGATTATGTATTATGTAATTGTACACCTGAAACCTATATAATTTTATTAATCAATGTCACCCCAATAAAATCAATTAAAAACAAGTAAATAAAATCTCTCCATATAAAAGCCTAATATACAAAGTGTCCCCTCGGGAGTTCGACCGACTGGCTCACTATGATGTGTGCTGACCACCAGGGGGTGGCCCGGAATGAAGGGAGGCCCTGGCCAGCAGCCACTAGGAACTCAACTCATGCACAAATTTTGTGCACTGGGTCTCTAGTAAAAAATAAAGTCAGAAGAACCCCTGACAAAGGGGCTCTAAACTGATTGGGTATGGGCAAGATGAGTTAATTTAAAAATTCATCACAACTCCTGCTTTAATACTTTGAAAAATACTGGGCTATCTCTACAACATCCTGAAGTGACAGTAATATATTTACAGAACATCATTCAGGAGATGTTCACAGACAGCTTTTTAACCATGGAATGATGTTTTTACTATTCACACCAAACAAAAACAACTGCACTTGTGGGACCCTGAATTTAAATTCTATATGAGCAAGCAAGCATAAAATTGGTCTAAGACCTGGAGACTCACAGCTCCATAGCCATAGTGGATTTAATCTCCATTTCTTGGTAAATAAATGGTGCCATAAGTTAAACATAAAATCAAATCTCACACAACTTAATACCTAATCAAAATTTGTTATCTTCAAATTCTATGTGGTGTTCATTATAGAGACTTGTAGAAAATCTGGAATTCTACTAAACTTTTCCTTTATAGAACTTATTTCAGGTAATTTTTTATGTAGTGCCTTTCCCACCAGATTTCTTTGAGGATCAGAACCACGCCTGTTTTGTCCACTGCTGTAGTCCCTATGCAGAGCACATGACTAGAACATAGTAAGCACTCAATGTTTTGAGTAAATGAATGAATTTCATCACCATTCCGTTCTCTTCCTTGAAGGGCTCAGGCCTGAATATCATAAAAGCAACTTAAAAGCTAAACTTAATCTATGTCACTCACTTTCTTCTTCAATTACTAAAGGCCCAGTGCATGAAATTCCTGCATGGGAGGGGGTGGTGGGGAAGGCCCTCACCCTGGCCTGCACCCTCTCACAATCTGGGACCGCTGACTCCTAACTGCTTGCCTGCCTGCCTGCCTGATTGCCCCTAACCACTCACTTACCTGCCTGATCGTCCCTAACCGCCCCTGCCTTGGCCTACGCTGTGGCAGCTTCATCTGGAACATTGTTCGACTATCTGGTCAAATTAGCATATTACGCTTTTATTATTCTAGATTGCATATCTTGCACCTTCTACACAACTCCATGTACTCAGAGATAGGGAATTTTCCATATTAAAGTGCTTCCAGTTTGATTAGAGCCAATAGGCCTATGATCTATTAAAATCCTTCATTTGGAAGGTGAGAGAAGTAAAACAAACAAACAAAAAAAAACACATACAAAACACACACACACACACACACACACACACACACAAAACAAACCTGAGTGCTATGAGAGATAAGAGGTTTGAATGTGTTATATCACCATGTGCTTTTAATAGAAAAAAAATCAGGATGAACGAAAGTAGCACCGGAAAACAAAGCACAGCAGAAGGGGTGGAAAAGTGAGTCACTGGCAAAAATCCTTAATGTGATGGGGAAAACGGAAAGACATGTATTTCTGTACCTCAATTAGTTTGTCTCCTTTGACTACATCCAGATGTAATCCAGGTGGGGGTTTACCTGCCCTGAAAAATAAGAAGGAAAAAGCATTTTCAGAATGAGTTCATAACGCCATTTACAATTATTGTCCCATTCAACACGGCAGCTCTCCTACCGGCCTATAATTAGCTCATGTTCAAGCAGAAGTGTCATCTACTTCGCTGTTATTACAGCTCCTTTCTAAGTTTGACACTTGCTTCCCCAGTGATTCAACTGCTCTAAAACAGGTTTTAATGGATTTGTATTTAGAGCAGCACCAAAGAAACCTATATTGTTAACACTGAATATCTACCTCGGAAAGAAAGCAGCATAGAGAGTGCAAGTACTATAGCTGGAGTAGTCTGATTCTTTGAGTTTGCATCTAAGCTTTGTGACTACTGCAAATAACATATAAAGGTTGAGTACATCGGCCGAGACCGGTTTGGCTCAATGGATAGAGCGTCGGCTTGGGGACTTAAGGGACCCGGGTTCGATTCCGGTCAAGGGCATGTACCTTGGTTGCGGGCACATCCCCAGTAGGGGGTGTGCAAGAGGCAGCTGATCGATGACTCTCTCTCATCGATGTTTCTAGCTCTCTATCTCCTCCCTTCCTCTCTGTACAAAATCAATAAAAATATATATATATAAAAAAAAAAAAAAAAAAAAAGGTTGAGTACATCGTTGGTGTTTTGTGCTGATCCAAGATTAGCCTCATCACAAAATAAACAGAGCTCTGAACTCTGAGACCAAATCAGAGGTACACAATTAGGGAGTTAGGGCAATCCAATATCATGCCTATGAAACCAGGTACCAATAAATACAAGAGATGTTTCTTACTCTTGAACAGGTCTTTCCACCTACAATGGCTTGTTTAGGGCACTTTTCTCTATATTTCTATAACCACAGCATTCAAAAGGGATGCATACCAAAGCACCTAACACAGTAGCTGGTGCATACAGGACTGAAGAAATGGTAGGTGATATGTCTCTTCTTCTATAAGTTTACTATCCTGACCCAACATCAGGAATCACTGAGCAGGGAACCAAAAGGGACATAAAATTTGTAGACTGAAGCAACTGGGTGTTACAAAATGCGAGGGAACTCAGAAAACGGGCACACATTCACTTGCTTCCTGTGTTTGCTCCTTGAAGCTTGGAGAAAAAAAAAAAAAAGAAAAGAAAAAAAAAAACAATCTTGCCAGAGTCCGTCTGCATATTTGCATGAAAATAATGTACTTGTCCGTCTACTTTGAAGAGCAAAACAGTCATCTCACAATCCTGTCCCATCTCCTCTACCGCAGGTTGCTGAAAACAGTGCATTGGAAAAAGCCTTTTTTTTTTTTTGTCCGGGAAACAGGAAAAGCAATGTTACCCCTACTATGTGCCCGGCTAAGGGCCTGGGAGCTGGTAATATAAAGGATGCATCAGACTCCTTGCCCTTGAGGACCTCCACATAGCGGGAGGCAGAGAAGAACAGCATTAGTAATACACCTGTGAATTACTGCTGAAATAGCTCTAACTCAAGGCCATTTATAATTATTCATCTTGCTCCCTACTCAAAGGCTAAATTATTCCAAGAATATTCCCACGAACTTGAGAAAGGATAAAAGGGGTCCCTTGCAACAACCCCAGCGCCGGTCGCTGAGAATGCAGGGGTCGGCCAGCGCCGTCCCTGCCCTCCGGGAGCTCCCTGTCCGGGGCAGACGAGCGCTGGGCCGGGGGCGCGGCGCCACAGGGGGACACGGGCTGAGGCGGGGCTAGGTCCGGGGAGCCAGCTCGTGCGCGCTCGGGACAGAGAGCAGGGGGCAGGCAGGGCGGCGCTCCACAGCGCACCCGATCCGGTCAGGAGTTGAGGCAAGTTCAGGGCCACGGCCCCGAAACGCCCAGGCAACCCGGCTGACGGCCGGAGGGGCCGCGTAAACGAGCGCCTCAGAGCCCCCAACTCTGGGTGCCTCAGTGCCTGGGCCTGGGCTCCCGGTTCCTCCACACGCTGCCCGGCCCGACGAACTGTTCTCCCTCAGTCAGCCCCATCTACACCGCCCGGCCCGCGGGGAGAAACGAGCCGCCCGGCCAGCCCAGGCCGGCCCAGACCGGGCCAGACCACTCCAGTCCCGGTCTCCTCGCCACTCACCAAGTAGGGCAGTCGAACAGTGGGAGGCTGGAGCCGGAATTCGTGGCTGCCGCCATCTTGCGTCTCCCCCGCCCATTTGGCGGGCCCGAGGCACGCCGGGAAACTGGAAGACTCCGCGGGGAGAAACGGCGTCCCAGTAGCCTGTGCGTGTGTGTACGCGCGCGCGCACGCACGCACGCACGGGCGATTCTAGTGGCGGTGGAAACTGAGACGTAGTTTTGAGGTGTTTGTCAGCGTCTCCGAATACTAGCCTTTCCCCCGGCTGGGAGGTGTCTGAAGAAAAGGCGCTTGTAAGCGGGGTATCGGCCTTCCCTCCGTCCTCCCGCAAACGCTCTGCCGGACTCTCAAACCTGTGACTCCATCCTGGCTGCAGGCTTGCACCCCCAATGGAGAGAGGAGTTAGAGCGCAGAGCTTAGAAGTCACAGTGATCGCTCCTTCTGTTTCTCTCACGACCCTCTTCTGCAATTGCATTCTCACTTCCTCTTCCTAATCCGAATCTGAACCCTGTGGACTTGTGTACATTTTCTGGGAATCTGCTTTAGGGGGTCGTTATGTCTACTTAAGAAAAGTCCGGACGTGCTGGGCCAAGAAGGATCCAATCAGAGGCAGACATCCAAATCGTTGTGGCCCCTTCGGAATTGTGGTTATGGGGACTAAATCGTGAAAGGAAGCATTAGGATTCCAGGCCTGCCCTACACCAAAAGCTGGCTGAGAGAGACCATCAGCAGGTCCTCGTTGTGATCGCTATGTTTGTTGGGTGCTTACTTCTCTGGACAAATATATATTTTATATGGATCATCTCATTGAATCCTCACAACACTCTTGAGGTAGGTATGGTCCCTGAACGCTCAAACAGATTGAATTGCCCAGCCTCACCCTAGAAAAGAGGGGCGAGTGGGATTCAAACCTAAATCTGTATGATGCCAAAGGCCATGCTCTGTCACCACCACTGTCTCACAATTAGATGTGGATCCATTATCATGCAAATGATGCCCAGCACTTTTTCACTTTTGTAGAAAGTTTTGGTTATCTGACCTGTTGTTTTTTTTTCTTTTTAAAGGAACTAATTGAAAATTGTTCAACCAGAAAGAGGCACTGCACATTATTTCTTTTCTTGATTTCCTTGCTACTGGTCCTCTAGATTTTAAATTGAACATCAGCCTGTTCAAGAGATTTTGTCCTTAATGACATCTCCAGGAATCAAGTTTTAATTGCAACATAATATTAACTTGGATTTTGAAATTACCAACTCTTAGGCAGGCAGATAATCACTTTCCTCTGGCTTTCAAAAGCACAATAAATTTATCCAACAAGGATGTTAATTGATCAGATGACTTATCTGCTGATCTGTGTATAGCCTCCTTTCCTGTCTTGATTCCAAAGACTAGGCTAATGAGGGAAATACAAATTATAAACTTGGTTTCAAGAATAGAGGCTAACTCCTTTAAAAAAACAAACAAACACTTTTTTTGTTGTTGTTGATTTCAGAGAAGAGAGAGGGAGAGAAATAGAAACATCAATGATGAGAATCATTGATTGGCTGCCTCCTGCATGCCCCACACTGGGAATTGAGCCCACAACTGGGATATACCCTGACTAGACATAGAACCGTGACCTCCAGGTTCATAGGTCGACACTCAACCACTGGGCCATGCCAGCCTGGCTGACTCTTCTTTTGAGCACAAGGATACGATTCCTAAGAAGGAATTAGTTTCAAAAGTGTTTTTAGTGTAACAAAACAACACTGTTCATTTTTATCTACAGATTGTGCAGGCGTTTGAGGTTCCATGCCCCTTTCAGGCATGAGGTGCTGTAGAAACCATGTCTAGCTTTGAGTGACCTAATAGCATCTATGTCAACTTTGCCTTTCAATTTCTCAGCTTTTGTGTGTGGCCCATTATTTAACCCCTTCTATTGCTGACTTATACATACAAGAAAGCTAAAGCTATATGCTTACCTTTATAAGTCTTTTCTCCTTGGTCACATTCCCTGCTTTCCACTAGCATGTGATGTAATGGCACCTTATACTTACCTAGGCCTTATAAAGCAACATTCTTTGTTTGGACACCAATGATGTCAGTATAGATCAGTGAATTGGGAGGCAGCAGTCTAGACCCTTAACTTTTTGAAATGGGAAGACTGATAGACTAGTTGCTTTTGGATTTTAATATCTCAACGAAGATAAATTTATTAGACACTGAAACTTCCTTAGACTAGAGTCTAGAGACATTAGCATATTGATGTTAGAAGAAAACTGTCTTAAAAACAAAGCGTGTAAAAACAATAACAAAAAAAAGTGTGTAAATAGTATAATCAGGAGGTTTCATTTACCAGAGTGGTTAATAAGTTCACAAGGTACTGATAAAAGAAAAGACATCCATGAAAAACTGGGTAAAAACTGCCACTATTCTAGGTTTTAAGAGAAAGCTTCATGAAAGAGGTGACGAGTAGGACAGTTTGTATCAGTGATGCCTGGAGACAATGTCTAGAATCTGACGATGTGATATTGAAGTCTGAGATCAAATCCTGGCTCCATCACTCCAAAACTGTGTGATCATGCACAGGTTACTTACTGTGCCTCCTTTTCCTAAGCCATACAAAGAGGACAAGAAAACATAGCTCTTAGTTGATTTTGTGGCTATGAGATATTAAATATAAAATGTAAAACATTTAACGTTTAGCATTGTAAATTGTTGGAAGCAAGAATTCAAAAATTGCCCTACAAATGACCATTCATATTAGAGAGCACTTCTTTAAGCCTTTTAATTCTTGTAGTGGACTGCCATTCCTAGCCTCAATTTCTTCAGTTGTCTAGTGATGGGACTAGTCTAAATGAGTTGTTCAAACATCGTGTCATGGTGGACCAGGAAAAAAAGTTATAGACATGTCTACTTTTATTTTGCCAAATAAGTAGATTTTAAAATGAAGACTGTCATCTAATATCACCACCTTTTCAATTTTTTAAAAAGAATTCTGCTTTAGAATTCTGATTTTTAATATATATATTTTATTTACTTTTTACAGAGAGGAGAAGGATAGAGATAGAATCATTGATGAGAATCATCGATCAGCTGCCTCTTGCACACCCCCTACTGGGGATGGGCCCGCAACCAAGGCACATGCCTTTGATTGGAATCGAACCTGGGACTGGTGCCCTTAATGATGAATAAAACATAAGGCATCTATGAATAAATAGGCTTTTAGGACCATCTAGCAGAACCTCTTGGTAAGTGCTACAAATTTCAGGCCATGCAAATTCTAGGCCAAGAATCCTATGCCATTCCAATTCTATTTGCTAACTATGGCCACTATTACCACCACCCCTGGATTATATAGTATTACAGAACAGAACTATGGCAGCTTCATTTTACCAGAGTGAAACAGTTTTTCAAGATCAAGACTTTTTCTTGAATGTTACAAATGATATATCCAAGTCCAGCTGTAATTTGGAGCTTAAGGGGCAGTGATCATAGAACCAAGAAATTCGCTCTGAAACTGCTGTTTGGGACACTGTGACACCCCAATAGCTCTATCCTGTTTTCCAAGGAAAGGATTGCAGCAACATCAATTCCACCCCAAACCAATCCTCTTCTTGCAGGTCTCAATTTTTCTAAAGAACAGCACATTACCTAAAATCTACTACATTAGGATGTGTAACTCATAAAAACTTACTACAAAAGTTTTTTAAATGTTTATTTGTATTAAGTGGGTAGAATAGTGCAAGAATGCATTTGGGCTCTTGTTTCCCTACCATTCACATTAGCTTGGTAAAAGAAGATAAAGTAACATTAAAGGGATTGGAAGAAAATAATATAAATATATCCAGCGTGGTCAAATCCTCTAATTCACTAAAAGATGAACTGAAATAGTTGGTCCAATTCATATAAATTATGTGGGAGCCTAAATAAATTACATTCCTTTTAACTATTCTAAACCTGTTAAAAAGGGAAGTGAACAATATTTATATTACAAGACAACAATCTTTTATTGAAACATTTTTCGTCTAAAACTAGGCATAGAGAGATTAATTTCTTGTTCATAAATTAAAATAAGTCTAACATCACTATTCCAAACCAGTATTATTTACAAAAATGAACCTTTTCTTTGCTTTATCACTAGGTTCACAGGACTAAATTTTAAACCAACTTTCAGTCTAGCCTTTCAAATCTTCCTGCCATCAAATGCCCAGCGACCCTTTAAGGGCAGGCCAGTGTTTTGACAGCATCATCATCATTCACCAGGAATGCAGAATCACAACTGAACAACAACAAAATGACCAAATCATTCCAAACAAGTCCTATTTGCTTTCCAAAAGCATGCTTTGTCTAATAATCCCTTTCTATATAAGCAGGTGGGAAAGAAACTCCTTGGAGTATAGTAATGTCAATTAAATTAATCTCTTCAAAAACTGAACATGATGGTTTAGTGTGTGTATGGATGAACTACTGTTGATGACACTAACAGATAATAAAGTAAACGTTAAACCCACAACTGGCCAGCTCAAATCCATACTTCTCATTTAATCTGGATCACATGTGCAACTTTTACCTTCTAGTTAAATACATTGCCAAAATCTTCAAAGCAGACAGAGAACAGGCTTCTTACAAATTAAAATGTTAAATAATAAAAATTGCCAGCTTATTATACAGTTTCTGACAGATTCCAATATGCTGGGTGCGAAAAAGTAGTTCTATGTCAGCTGCTAGTAAAAAAGGTAAATCTTGTATACACATAAAAAGAAATTTACAAGACTGTAGTGTTCCTGTTAAAACAAGAATATCTAGAATGGAATTTTCAGTAAATACTTGGGATGAAGGTGCATAAGAATAGAAGAGAAAGCAAAATCTACATAAATTAGTTCCTAATTTGAGAAATCAATAAAATGTATACATAAATTGATAAATGCTGTCTCCATAGGTCACTGATTCCAAGGACTGGTTAGTAATTAGTTTCTAACTAAATTATGACAGGACGTTCTGATGTATGCTCTTCGGTGATCGGTTTGTTCTGGCAGACTCCAGCAAGCAGTTGCCCTTGAAAACAGTTCCGTGGGAGAAAGCTCTGAGGCAATCACTTCCTATAAACTAGCCACATAATAAGTCCGAAGAGAGCAGCAATCACTGTCAGGACAAGCACCAGGATACAGATCTTCTTGCGAGATTTTCTCTGAGAAGAGAGATATATTAAGAAGACACTCATGAAACAAGTGAAATTTGTTATTCTAAAAGTGCTTCATAAATCTGGCTCCTGGTAATTCAAAATCAACTCTATCCATGAATGAATATGCACAGACCTGCCCAAAATCTTAACAGCTACCGGAGCTAGGCATTAGTGCAAGTTTTAACTCTAGTTTCCCAAATACAATTTAGCAAAATAACTTTTTATACCAACACTGCTAGGCATTATTTGCAATAAAGTTATTTGTGCATGTATATATTAATAAAGGTTTTATACCCATTATAAAATTTTATGTTCAATGTAAAAAATATAGACAAGCAGAAAGAAAACAAAATAATCACCCACAGCTAAAACTATTGACATTTTTATTATAGTTCCTCGTTTATCTATGCAAAATGTTTTCTGATATAATTGTGATCATACTATATGTTTGATGTTTTTCTCACGTAACATTTTAGTATAAAATTTTTCTTATTATAAACTCTTCATAAACATCTCCAATTTCCACATGACATTGAGTCGACATAGATAATTTACTTAATTATTCATTTGCTGTTAGATACTAAAGTCATCACTCAGTTTTTTAAAGGAAACATTATTATTAAACAAATTTCTTTAAGAACATTCCCAGATAAAATACAGCTATCCTAGGAACATAGAAAATTACTGAAATGCTATTTGTTTCTAAAAAGTCATGCAACACCCAATTGAGAAATGAGAAGGACCTCATTCACAATATTTGTTCACAGATAAAGACTCAGACATGTAATAAAACCAATTTCAACTAATATGTGAGAGAATATCACTTTCCAGAAAGAACAATTAACTCCTATTTATTCATAGGTAAATAACCCCGAAATGATAAACCTCTATTCATTCATAGATAAACAGAAGTCAGAGTTGATTTTATGTCCATTCTCTGTGGCAAAGTCAACAGAAATTATCTGCAAAGTTCTTCTTTGTACCAATGTTACCCTAACTGAAATCCTGTATTTCAACTGTTTTGGATATAAAATTAACCTTAAACCAGATTAAAGTATCAAGTTAGCACATGGGGTTAGCTCAGTAGCTAAGAAGCTGTTATATAAGTTTATTCAAGATTTGATGCCTTTTTGTCGGTCTCTCTGCAAAGGAAAATACTAAAAACGGAACTGGCACTGCAATTATGACTATCTCCAACTAAAGCCTAAAAAAAGGCTGCAACGTATTCCAGCGATTTTCAACCGGTGTGCCGCAAGAATTTCTAAAACATGCAATACCTGACCTCTTTTCCCTTAGGTTATCAAATTAAATAATTACAACAGTCAACACATCAATAGCGGTCTGGTATGAATCAAAATTATACCTATTTTTTTAAAATAAAAAATAACACATCAAACAACCTAAATTATACCTATTTAATATTTTTTGGTTGGCCGCAGAATTTTAGAGATTAGTTTATGTGTGCCAAGAGATAAAAAGGTTGAAAATCACTGGTGTATTCTAATGGCCCATAAAGCTGTAGCACAGAGTGACTTTCTCTGGTACCTCCCTTACCTGATAGTAAGCCGCTCGCTGTAACTGATCAGTGGCTCTTTCCACATGCACCTCTGAGCTTTCCACATTGGCTTCTATGCTATCTGCAAAAAAGAAGGACAGTGGAAATTTTATCAAATCCAGATGTTGAAAACAGCAAAATGAACAAACTTCTGATGTTAGGGGGATCCCGGTTTCACCACCACCATTCTAACTATCCAGCCATGAAAACAAAAGTTACTAACTTCAGCCGTGGCCAGTGTTGCTCAGTTGATTGAGCACCATCCCATGCACCACCAAAAGGTCACCGGCTCAATTCTGGTCAGGGCACATGCCCAGGTTGCATATGGGAGGCAACTGGTCAATGTGTGTCTCGCTCCTTTTCTCTTTCCTCCTCCTTCCTTTTTCTCTCTCTAAAATCAGTATTTTTTTTTTTTTTTAGTTACTCCATAAGAGAATAGCCCTATTCTTTGGAAATAAACGCTGAAATATTTACAGGAAAAGGTTATAAAGTATACAACTCTCCCACAAATGGCAGAGAAAAAATTATGTACACCTATAAAAAGAAAAATATTTCTAAGCTACTCTAAATTAAAATCATAGCAGCCATGGAATACAAAAAAGAGACAGAATAGTTAACCTGTTAACAGCCATGAACCAGCTCTGACAAAACACTGCTCACGTTTATGTATATCTGTTGGAATTTAGGATTAATTTCCAGATGGCAACTTCTACATTATCTAAGAGAGAATAGGCAGGGCCCCAGAAGGTATTAATAATACATACCAATCAGATCACCCTGGTCATGGATCATCATAGCCAAATCTTTAAATATCTGATTGACATCCAAAATGTCAGCCTAAGGAACACCAAAACAATTAACTATCATTAAGCAACATGTTAGAGATTCATTTCCTCTACTTACCTGAAGTTAGTAACATAACTGAAGCTATTAACATAACACATGTGTTTTTAAAAAATATATATTTTTATTGATTTCAGAGAGGAAGGAAGAGAGAGAGAGAAACATCGATGATGAGAGAGAATCATTGATTGGTTTCTTCCTGCACGCCCCACTACTGGGGATGGAGCCCACAACCCAGGCAGGTGCCCTTGACTGGAATCAAACCAGGGACTCTTCAGTCTGCAGGCCAAAGCTCAATCCACTGAGCCAAACCAGCTAGGGCAACACATGTGTTTTTAAGGCTTATAAATCATATATAAAGTTCTTAGAATGTGCAATAAGCACTTCATAATGTTAGCTATTATGAATTATTACTTACTAGGTCCTCACGACACCCAATGAGACATGTTTATCCACATTCTATAGAAGAGAAAATTGGGGCTCAGAGAGGTTTAATGATTTGTGTCAAGGTCTCACAACAAGTGGCCAAACTGAGAATTAAAAGTTCATGTTTTCATTATGCTACTATCCCTCCTTCATATTTAAATTAATCATTCAGGCCCGGCTGTGTGATTATTGACCCAAACTCCAAGAGGTCACAGTTTGATTCCAAGTCAGGGCACACACTTTTGTTGCAGGCTCCACCCCCAGAAGGGGGCATGCAGGAGGCAGCCAATAGATGTTAATGTTTCTCTCTCATTGATGTTTCTCTCTCTCTCTCTCCCTCTCCCTTTCTCTCAGCAATAAAAAAATTTTTTTAAAGAGTTTAAATTAATCACTTAGTAACTCTATGAAGTAAGCATCTTTGAGGATAATGAGGCTCTGAGAGGTTATGTAATCTGTCTAGTCACACAGCTCCTCAAAGAGAAAACTAAGAGTTGCAGCTAGGATGACATCCTTAAAGCCCATGCTCTTTTTATTATAATACATTGCCTCTCAGAATGCTACAATAAAAACTGATACCTTGAAGGCAATGACTTCCTAATCATACTTACAAGAATAGTTCTTCCTATCACCCCCAATTACTTGCTAAGAGTTTGCTTTTGTTGGGAGAGACTACTAGTTGCTGTGGATACAAAAGGACTTAATAGATAAGTAGGAATTGAGGGGACCAGCACACAAGATAGAAAAGAAGGGTTTTTATATGGGAAATGGCTAATAAATAGCACAGAACATTGTATAGAGGAGAAAGATTCTTCAGGAGAGATAGGACTTGAGTTGTGCCTTAAAGCAAAAGAGAAGTTATGTAAATGGAAAGGTAACTGAGTTAAAGAGCAACAGCCCAGTTTGGTTATAGCATAGATGCAATATTGTTATTTATAATAAGTATATATTTGGTCTTTATCCCATCCCCATCACAGAGCTCCTAAAACCTTGGAATTTCCTAAGTGAGAAAAGATAAACGTGTCTTGTTATTCATAACAAGTCTTATTCAACCACACCAAAGGTTATGTTAAAGACTTGACTTCTGGATAATCCCTAAGGATGGAGGATGCTTTGAATCTGAAGGTTGGAACATTGAGCTGCACTCTGAGGACAGGTACTGGAGGCTGAATCAATCCCCAAAAGCCAATCATTTAATCAATCAAGTTCATGAAATGAAGCCTCCACAGAAATCCTAAACAAAGGTTCTGAGGTTCTGGGTTGGTGAACGCATGGTGTCCCTGGGAGAAGGGCACACCTGGAGAAAGCATGGAAGGTCCACCCCCTTTCCACATACCTTGCTTGCCTTATGATTTCTTCCACTTGGCTAGTCCTGAGTTGTATTCTTCTATAATAAACCAGTAATCTAATAAGGAACTTGTTTTCCTGAGTTCTGTGAGCCACTCTAGCAAATTAATCAAAACCAAGGAGGGGGTGATGGGAACCTCCAACTTAGAGCCTGTCAGTCAGAAGCACAGATAACAACCTGGACTTGACAATGGTATCTGAAGCGTGAGACTGAACTCAACCTGTGGGATCTGATGCAATCTCCAGGTAGATAGTGTCAGAATTGAGTTAGATTGCAGGACATCCAGCTGGTGTGGCAGAATTGCTTGATGTGAGGAAAAACCTACACATTTGGTGGCCAGAAGTGTAATATGAGAGGACAGGAGACACATAAGAGTATGCTATTTTCTATTAGATTGTATATTAGATATAGAAAATGACTGGACATGAAAATAGAGCGTGGCTAAGGAATTTGGACTTAATTCTGTTGAATGTGAGGGGCCCATTACATTCACTAAGTTACTTTGCTTTCCTTAGCTTAGTATGTTCTCTCCCTGCTATAACAGTATTTCTAATGTTAGAGAACCAATAGCAGTGGGTGAGAAAAAGAAAGATACAATATCTTGAAGGAAATTAAATAATCCAACTTGAGGATGAAGTAGCTCATCTAAGACCAGGGCAGTGTGTCTCAACCCTGAAAGCGTATTGTCACCTGGGAAATTAAAAAATATATATCTCTGATGCCCTGGCTGGTTAGCTCAGCTGGTTGGAGCGTTGTACCGATAGGCCAAAGTTGCAGGTTCAATCTCCATCCAGAGTATATACAAGAATCAACAAATGAATGCACAAATGAGAGGAACAACAAATCATTGTCTCTAAAGTCAATAAATTAAAAAAAAACAACTTAACCCCCCCCCCCCCACCTTCCCCAGGGCCTCTTGTGGATATTTGCCCATTTTTAACTTACAAAAAATAGGAGTTCCTCATAGTCCAAATTAACAAATGGTGTGTGAGGGAGAAGAGCTGGGGATTTTTTTTTTTTTAAGTCCAAGTGTTTCTAATATGCTGTCAGGGTTCAGAACTACTGTCACAGATGAAGGTCAGGGAGGAGCTCAAAATTGCTCCTCTCCACAATCCTCCTTTTCCTACTGCCCCCCAGGGATGGCAGTCTCTACCTTCATGTAGGAGGAAACTACACAAGTTTAAGAAAATTTTATTGGTCACTGTGCAAGATTAAAGTTGAAAACACAGGTAAGAAAGGCTTTAATACCTCTTTCTCAACCCCCACATCAAAAATTAACCCAGTTTCTCTCTGACCTACTGAAGTAGTATCCACAACTTGAGATTAGACTTTGGGATGCACAAAAATGGAGCAAACCATTTGACCTACCTTTATTCTGGGCTATTCAAACTAAGCAAAGAGGCCCCCTGTAGAGTTCTACCTAACCTGCAGATTGGCACTGAAGTTTGGGGGTGAAGTCTCAACGAACAATAAAATATCTGTTTGCCTTGCTGTTCTGCATGCGTATTCTTATTGAGACCATAGAAGATACGGTGCTTGAGGGGAGGATTTGGGAATTCTTGGGCACCACGGCCACTGCCATCATAAAAGTGGTTCAAATTCATCATGATTACATCGAAACCTAATAGCCACACCACACAAGACTCATTTCATGTCTTTTCATAATCACTGAGAGAAAATCCAGGTGGATTATACAGCACAGATACATTAAGTCAAACAAAACACATGAACGGGCTCTCACCTCCAGCTGCCGAATGGCCGTTTCCCTCTCCTTAATAAGTTCCAGATCCTGCTCGGTGATGGCCACCTCGTCCTCCTGGCTCTGCATCTGGTTCCACTCCTCATGGCTGCAGGGAGACAAGCACTCTAGTTGGTTCCTCCTCTCACAGGTGAGCCTGAGACACTACAGCATCTCTACTGCCAGCAGAGCCTCTCCAAGGACACCACAGGCTCCGACTCCTCTGCTGTCCATCAGTACGAAATCCCCGAGGGCCACAATTTTCATATCCAGAGGCAAAGTGCTTATAACACCGAGAAAACAAAGCCCCAGCTTTCAGGGACAAGACAGAGATGAAGCAGAATTATGAGGGATGGGACACCTCAGGTTTCCCTTCATTTTTCCTTCTTTTTTTCCTCACTGATTTTTAAAGTTAAAAGTATAAAGAATAGAATCCCATCTCAACTAGCCAGCAGGGTATCTGAATAGTTATTTTACCTGTCAAATGAGACGAGCTGCTCCTCTCTTTGCCTCTCTTCTGCCTAGAAAGCAGAGGGCATTATTGCTGCTGTTATCCAGAAACATGTCACAGACACACAAAATGATAGCTTTTTTTAGCTAGCGTGTAAAGAAGCAACAGCCCTTGGCTCCAACAGGATGGCATAGGGCTCTGGCAATCTGTCTTGACTAGGAAATGGGTGAGAAAGAAAAATCTGCATTCTGTTGTGCTCAGAACTAAAAGCATACTAAACAAGATGAGAGAACATGGGCAGGAGAGAGGCTTAAAAATAATGAGCCCTGGCCAGTTTTGCTCAATGGTTACTGTGTTGGCCCATAGACTGAAGGGTCTCAGGTTCAATTCCAGTCAAGGCCATGTACCTGGGTTGCAAGCTGGATCTCTGGCCCTAGTCAGGGTGTATGCGGGAGGCAAGCAATTGATGTTTCTCTCTCTGTCTCTCCCCATCCCTTCCACTATCTCTAAAAAGTCAATGGAAAAATATCCTCAGGTGAGAATTAAAAAAAACAAAACCGTGAAGTTCAAGTTTGTCCTCAGTACATGTACTCAGTGCAAAGGCAGTTCAGTGCTCTGCTTACTTCTACAGGTTCTCACTTCCTCTTAGATTTTGACCTTAATATTCCCATGACTCTTAAGTACTTTTGAGAAGTTGGGTTGATAAAATCTAGTATTTGTTCATTCTCTTCAAAGAGAAAGCTAGTCCAAATAACTTAAAAAGATATTTCAAGAAACAGATTCATTCTTTCTTCTTTTTCTGCTTTTAACAGAAGACCAATATAACAATAAAAAAGAAAATTGTACATAATCCTACCTGTCACTTTTTAAAACCTTTGTTAACATTCCTTTCTAGTATTTGACCATATGCACACTTTTTTTTTTTTTTTTTTTTTTTTACACAGGTTTTACCAATCTAGCATTTTGCAGCAGCTAATGTCTATATCTATTATTTGGGGAATAGTAAACAAAGGCTAGTGGTAAGGGAAAGAAAACATAGGAAAGAACATCCTGAAATTTGCAAAGGTCTTCTTTGGGGAATAAACTTACAGAAAGTCGAGATCCAGCTCTTGCTCTGGCAATACTCTCCTTTTCCTTTTCAGACACCTTTCTCTGCACAGCCTGGAAATTGTTTAAGGCTGCAGAGAAGTCATTCATGAGGCGTTCCTTTTGAAGTCTCTGCTGGCGCTAAGAAAATAAACAAAAACTTAAAATTTCATACTAATCTCAAACCATTTGGTTTCATACCCATTAAAAGCAGTATGTTCCTAAAGATTTCCTACTGCTGGAAAACCCACAGCGGAGGAGTCCATCAAGCAGCTGTGACGCCCAATAGGCGCAAACATGTGGATTCAAGGGAGTTCTTCAATTACCCACAGAAAGGAGAAGGAACACCACATAACCAGACATCCTGAAAAGAGAGACCATGGGGAGACAGAGAAATAGCCTGCACATGAAAGAAAAGCAGGCATCACCAAAAAAGGAAGTAAACGAGTCAGAGGCATGCAGCCTACCAGAGCAAGAATTCAGAGTAATGATCATAGGATGGCTAAAAAGAATGGAAGAGAAATTTGACAATAACCAAGAAGAAATGAGGAAGAACCATGAGGAATTGAAGAAGAACCAAGAGGAATTGAAGAAGAACCAGGAAGAAATGAAAAATGACACAACTACCATGAAGAACTCAATAGAAAGCATCAAGAGTAGACTAGATGAAGCAGAGAACCGCATCAATGAGCTAGAAGACAAGATGGAAAAAAATACCTAAAGATTTCCTACTGGGAAAATTACTATGATATAGGATCGTCCTTAGGTTAATATATTTGCCCATTGCTAAATTCCTAGTTAACACTATAGGCCATGTCAGAACGAAAATATTCATTCCGACAACCCTGGGAACTGCCCATCATTTACCTTGCAAAGAAATCTCATTAAGAATTGCATTTCAGAATTTTGGATCCCTGAAGAATCAAAAGCTGCCCTAGCCAGTTGGCTCAGTGGATAGAGCATTGGCCGGTGGACTGAAAGGTCCTGAATTTGATTCCGGTCAAGGGCACATGCCCTGGCTGCGGGCTCAATGCCCCATAGGGGGCATGCAGGAAATAGCCAATCAGCAATTCTCTAGCATCTTTGTTTCTATCTCCTTCTCCCTCTCCCTTCCTATCAATAATATATATATATATATATATATATATATATATATATATATTCAGAAAATATATATATTCAGAAAATATATATATTCAGAAAATATATATATTCAGAAAATATATATATTCAGCATATATATATATATATATATATATATATATATATATATATAAAAGAATCAAAAGCCAAATAAATGCTATTGAACTTAGAATGGGGTTGTTTTTATTAAAGTGTAAAACTGTTCATCTATGCTTGAGTTCACAGCTTCCCTGAAAACCATAGAGTCACTAAGGTTTTAAATCTTTGGGAACCTGAAAACTAATTTGTACAGGCTACCTTAACTAAGTGCATCGATTCTATATCTCAAAAAACACATAATGTGAGCACTTACTGTGTGCTGAGAATATGAAAGTAAAAACTCACCCCTGACTTCAAACAACTTACCATGTATTTATAGATAAAGGTTATACAGAGACAAATAACAAATCATTATACATAGCTGCTATTCCCAATCAGTACTATAGGAGCTGAGAGGCAGGTATAATCGGTAAGAACCAGGAGTCACAGAGGCCTCCAGAGGAGGTGGTCACTGGAGAAGAGTAAGGCGTGGGAGAAAGGGCGAGGAAAGCCAGCAGGAGACAGAGTGAGAAAGGCATAGTGAGGAGGACTGGAAGGCTGGAACCAAAGGTTTTTCCGCGACAACAGCTAGAAGATGAAATTGGAAGGCAGGCCAGGGGCTGACCACAGCAGGTTTTTTAAGTGCCAAGCAAATAATCTTGGGACTTAATCTCTTAAAGAACAAAGATATCTGAGCAGGAAACATGATGGATACAAAACGATAACTTACAAAAATTAGTCTCTGATATTGTACAAGATAGAAGGGAAAAAAAGAAACAAGTCAAAAACATTACTGCAATAGTCTATCTAGATTTAAGGTTAGGAGGATACGGTCTCTGTCAGTAACGGGAACACAAAAAAATAAATTTAAGAAACATTATGGCTTAGTAAGTGGCTGTGGGGGGAGGGGGTAAAGTCAAGAATGACTCAAATTTCACACTGAAGAGAGTGACGGCAATACTGAAAGCAAACTTAGATGAGGAACTTTTTTTCCTTTTTATGGGATTTTTATTTTTTCATAAACATCATAACAATAAGGGGGGGGGGGGGAAGAAACATCATGCCCCAATCTATCTAAAAATACTCTTTTAAGTATAGCACACACACTTTCTAAGTTTTCATACTCTTCACAATTACGGTCTTTGTTACATAATATTCCATCAAAGTGATCTAGTACTTTTATATAAACATTTCTGCTAGATTGTTCCCACTTTTTAAATATTCTAAATAAAGCTAAAGTGATAGCTAGTATTTATAGAGTGATAGCTAGTATTTATGATAGCTAGTATTTAATAGAGAGCTTACTTTGTACATGTACTGATATAAGTACTTTATATAATAATTCATTTATTTTAGTTTATTTTTTAAATATATTTTATTGATTTTGTACAGAGAGGAAGGGAGAGAGATAGAGAGTTAGAAACGTCGATGAAAGTCATCAATCAGCTGCCTCTTGCACACCCCCTACTGGGGATATGCCCGCAACCAAGGTACATGCCCTTGACCGGAATTGAACCTGGGACCTTTCAGTCCCCAAGCCGACGCTCCATCCATTGAGCCAAACCGGTTTCGGCTATAATAATTCATTTAATCCGAACAAGATCCTTCCTTAGTTAGGTACTATTACAGTCCCTATTTTACCATTACAGTCCCCCTTTTACCGAGGCAGAGATTAGTTAATGGTTTGCTAGGGTCACACAAGTAAGTGGCACAGGTAGAATTTAAATCCAGGAAGTTGGCTCCAGAGTAAAGTTGTTTTTTTCCTCTTAGTACATTTTTCCTCCGGACAAATTTGGTTGAGTGGGAATATTAGGCCTAAAGGTTATATTTTCTATAATACGCATTACAAATCAGCTTAGTTAAGGTGTTTAGGAGGAATGGGAGGAATTCAACATAACACAAAACACTACATTTCAGATGAAGAGGAGAGTTCAGAACAGGAACTGGCAATAGAGGCTGAGAGGCTAGGGCTGGACAAAGAGCTGGGGTCATGTCCATAGAGATGACAGGGAGCTTATAAAAGTAGATAGGGCTCCTGAGGGAGAAAGCAGAGTGAGAAAATGTCAGGATCGCTGGATGGCAGAGCACGCCCATTCTAGGAAGCAACAGACTCAGAGAAGGAGACACAACCTGGGATTAGAGAAAATAAGCCCGAAAAGGCTCACCAGAATTGAGGGACAGAATGAAAGGAAGAAGAAAGGTTTCAGTGGAGACAGACTGGGCAAGAGGATCAATGAATCAGAGAAGAAAAGTGTAAGAACCAAAAAGGCCATTGGATTTAGCAACTAAATAATCACTGATGATAGTACATAAATCTGAAAAAAATACCGAAAAGTAGAGTAAATGGCTTGAGGCATAGGTCAGTAGCACAAGATGGGTAATGTGGCCAAGATTAATTAGATGAACAAAGACTTGAAAGGAAAAGAGTATTCAGCACAATAGGAGGAAGGAAATCAAGGAATTATATTTCACTAGAAACAGTATGTTTGTAGGTCTATTTTGTGTTTTATGATCCACAATAATGGAAGGGAACATAAACATGTATAATCCAAAAATAACTTCTATCTGATTTGGAATGCATTAGATCCTTTTGCTTGTTTGTTTGTTAGCAGAGTTGACTTCCTAATTGTATTTTGGTTAGGCTGCTATTTATTTCTTAAGTACTTTCAATGCTCTGTTTGCATTAGACCCTTAGACTCATTTTTTATCACTAAGATTATCTACAAGAGTGTATTCTTTAAGTGCACAGTTGGGAGGAAAAGAGGAGCAATTTTGAAACAATTTAGAGATATTGGATGGAACTTTGTCCATACTGAAATATCAGCATGAGTAACCACTAAAACAGCACACATACAGATAACCAAAGAATGAGTACATGAAGATTATCTTCTATCTTTTCTTTGTAGCAGGATGAGAAAGCATCTTCTCTTTTGTGCAAGGGGCACCAAAACTCCAAAGACTGAACATACACTTCATTAAACAGCTTGCCAGGTATAGATTAAACTAGTGATCTTCAAACTTTTTTTGATGGAGACACACAGTAACACTGTGACGTCTTGATCCAGTATCATATATATATATATATATATATACACATATATATGAAACAAGTTTCATGTAACAACAACACCCTCTATTTCTACTCTATGTCAAAATGATAGTAACCACACACTATTATTTTATGTTCCAATAGCCACAACTCACTGACAACCCCTGGATAGGGAAGTTGTAGACTTTATCTTTAGGGCCATCATAGATAAGAAATCATCTTTTAAAAAGTTCGTTAATAGGGCGGGGCTGGTGCGGCCAGGCCCGGAGCAGCGGCTGCCAGGCTGGGAGCGGCCAGGCCCGGGGGAGCAGGCGGGGCTGGTGCGGCCAGGCCCGGAGCAGCGGCTGCCGGGCTGGGAGCGGCCAGGCCCGGGGGAGCAGGCGGGTCGGGTGCGGCCAGGCCCGGAGCAGCGGCTGCCGGGCTGGGAGCGGCCAGGCCCGAGGGAGCAGGCGGGTCGGGTGCGGCCAGGCCCGGAGCAGCGGCTGCCGGGCTGGGAGCGGCCAGGCCCGGGGGAGCAGGCGGGTCGGGTGCGGCCAGGCCCGGAGCAGCGGCTGCCGGGCTGGGAGCGGCCAGGCCCGGGGGAGCAGGCGGGGCGGGTGCGGCCAGGCCCGGAGCAGCGGCTGCCGGGCTGGGAGCGGCCAGGCCCGGGGGAGCAGGCGGGTCGGGTGCGGCCAGGCCCGGAGCAGCGGCTGCCGGGCTGGGAGCGGCCAGGCCCGGGGGAGCAGGCGGGTCGGGTGCGGCCAGGCCCGGAGCAGCGGCTGCCGGGCTGGGAGCGGCCAGGCCCGGGGGAGCAGGCGGGGCGGGTGCGGCCAGGCCCGGAGCAGCGGCTGCCGGGCTGGGAGCGGCCAGGCCCGGGGGAGCAGGCGGGGCTGGTGCGGCCAGGCCCGGAGCAGCGGCTGCCAGGCTGGGAGCGGCCAGGCCCGGGGGAGCAGGCGGGTCGGGTGCGGCCAGGCCCGGAGCAGCGGCTGCCAGGCTGGGAGCGGCCAGGCCCGGGGGAGCAGGCGGGGCGGGTGCGGCCAGGCCCGGAGCAGCGGCTGCCAGGCTGGGAGCGGCCAGGCCCGGGGGAGCAGGTGGGGCTGGTGCGGCCAGGCCCGGAGCAGCGGCTGCCAGGCTGGGAGCGGCCAGGCCCGGGGGAGCAGGCGGGTCGGGTGCGGCCAGGCCCGGAGCAGCGGCGGCCAGGCTGGGAGCGGCCAGGCCCGGAGCAGCAGCAGCCAAGTCCAGAGCAACTAGGTCGGGAGCGGCAGTGACCAGACCCGGAGCAGCTGGTTGTGGAATGAACCAGAGCAACAGAAGCCAGGCCCTGAGCAGCCAGGCCCAGAACAGCTCGCTCCTTGCCTGCCCCTGCCCCACGGCTGCTTCTCAGACATGGCTGGAAACTTTCGTGGGAACTTGAGTGTCTGCTGAATCAAGTGATGAAGGCTTAGATCTGGATGTGTTGAGTTAGTTTAGGACTGGGGTGTTGATCTGTGAGTGCCTTGGGTGGGGCCTGGATGAGGCTGGTTGACCTAGTGGGAAATGTCTTTTGTGTGAAGTGTATCATTGGGCATGTGGAGGTATTATTGATATGAGAAAATGCTAAGTAACTGATTTACTATCTGAAAAGGGATTTACTATTGGGGAAATTGAGGGAAGAAGAGACAGAACATAAACTGCACCTATGGATGAGGACAATGGGGGATGGGGGGGGGGAGACGGAGGGTGGGGTGGGAACCTGGTGGAGGGGGGAAGAAATGAGGAACCTTTGTAATAATATGAACAATAAAGATTGATTTAAAAAAAAATAATAAAATAAAAAAAAATAAAAAAAAAATAAAAAAATAAAAAATAAAAAAAATAAAATATCACCAAAAACAAAAACAAAAAAGAAAATAAAGAGAAAAAACTTATGGACAAGGACAATAGTGTAATGATTGCCATGGGAAGGGAGTAGAGGGAAGTGGAAGAGGGTATGGGGGAGATAAATGGTGATGGATAGAAACTTGACTTAGAGTAGTGAACACACAGTACGTTGTACAAATGACGATTGTACGATTGTGCACCTGGAACCTGTTAACCAGTGTCACCCCAATGAATTCAATAAATATAATATTGCAAATAAAAAAAAAAAAAAAAAAAAAAAAAAAAAAAAAGTTCGTTAATAGGCCCCAGCTGGGTAGCTCTGTTGATTAGAACACCACCCGATATACCAAGGTAGTGGGCTCAATCCCTGATCAGGGCACATACAAGAAACAACCAATGAATGTATAATTAAGTAGAACAACAAATTGATATATCTCTCCCCACCTCTATCTAAATTTTTTTTTTTTAAAGTAATATAAGTGCCCCTTCAATGGTATAAAAGTTAAAAGCAACCCTAGCTGGTTTGGCTCAGTGGAAAGAGCATTGGCCTGTGGACTGAAGGGTCCTGGGTTTGATTCCAGTCAAGGGCACATGCCAGGTTGTGGGCTTGATTCACAGTGGAAGGCATACAGTAGGCAGCAGATCAATGATTCTCTCTTATCATTGATGTTTCTATTTCTATCCTCTCCTTCTCCCTTCCTCTCTGAAATCATATATAATTTAAAAGTGCCTAAACTGTAAAAAAAATGGGTAAAGATCATTTTTTAAAAAAGTTAAACAAAATGGACTCCTAACAGGCTTAGGTAAGTGGAGGTTTTTTCCCCTGGAAGAGAGAGAATTTGAGGTAGATCATGAATGACAGGTAAGAGTGACAGCCACATGGAGGGAGCACATCTGACTTCATGTACATGTGAACAGAGGCAGGGAAGAGCAACGAAACAATGAATCCCTATAGAAAGTGTGTGTTTCTAAGGATTTAAATGGCACTGAATAAAATACTTGAAAAGAGAAGTCTTTTTTTCCTGAGCATTTCCTCAACCTGAGACCTATGAAAGACTTGCGATGGGATGTGAGAGTGAAGGAAAAATGTAAAAGACATGTGATTGGAATATACAGATACTAGATTCAAAACAAACTCCGATGAAGCCTGTAAACGTAAAGCTACTAGCCCAGACCCAAAAAGATGCTGAGCTTCCTCTTCGGTTAAACCTATTTTATTAGGACTGGTATATTAATATGTTCTTGTTAATCATAACAGCAGCCACCACATATTGAGTACCGACTGAATGCCAGGCAATCTGCAAGATCTGATGCACACATTCTTTTTCTTGTCACAATGGCTACATACTCCCACTTTACTGATAAGGTCTATCTAGCACAAAAGGCCAAGTTATTTTTGTTTCACATACTGTATTTCTATTAAAACAAAGTCCTTTTTTTTATTAAAACACAAAACAGAAAATACCTACCTGTTCTGAAGTAGATAAGGGGAGGGGCAAGGACCCTAATTCCTTCAGTAATTCATTTGTTTCCTTGGCAAGCTGATTTGTAGAGTGTTGCAGCTGCTGCCTAAGAGAGAAAAGATAGTTTCAGAATATCCTCACTTCTTCTGAGCTGCTATAGTTAGTATCAGCTTATTCTCAGTGTCTCACAACGCAGGGAATGAAAGGGTACGTGAAGAAATAGATTCCTACATGCCTGGATTCACAACAAAATTCCAGAGCTACTGGAATCAAACCCAGGCCCAGCACCTACCACTTTGCATATTACTATATTCCCCCGGGGTCCTGGATTGCGAGAGTGTGCAGGCCAGGCTGAAAGACCCCACCATTGCATGAATCCGTGCACTGGGCCTCTAGTATAATATATTAGGTGGAAGTTAAAAGTAGTGGAAATAAAAAAAAAATAAGGAAAAAAAATATGTTCACACAAAAAAAATAATAAAAAAATAAAAGTAGTGGAAATAGCTGGGCCAGTGTGGCTCAGTGGTTGAGTGTTGACTTATGAACTAGGAGGTCATGGCACATGCCTGGGTCGCAGGTTAGATACCCAGTAGGGGATGTGCATGAGGCAGCCAATCAGTGATTCTCTCTCAGCAGTGATGTTTCTATCTCTCTCTCCCTCTCCTTTCCTCTTTGAAATTAATGAAAATATTTTAAGAAAAAAGAAAAGTAGTGGAAATATAAAAAGAGCTCCTCTCAGTCAAGATTTCCTTAATCTGGCCATTTCTACAAAGGTTTTAAGGGAGGACAGAGAAACCACACTACTAATTATTAATGTTTTTTCACTGCAAAGGGACCTCCAAGATAAAAATATAAGAGAGTCAAAAACAAGAGGGAGTCCATCAGGAGCCTGAACATCCCACACAGGACTAACATATCCAGAGACATTTCACATCTCCCGGGAAAATGCTCAATGTAGTAAGTTATTCTCTCATTTCACAAAGTGTAGGACATGAAATAAAGAACATAACTCAGTATCTTTTAAAGATGAAGAATAGAACTTCAAAAAGCAGAAACGTACTCAAGAAGGATGTGATCAAAAGAATCAGCCCTTGCTGGTTTGGCTCAGTGAATAGAGCATCAGCCTACGGACTGAAGGGTCCCTGGTTTGATCTCAGTCAAGGGCATGTGCTCAAGTTGTGGGCTCAATCCCCAATAGGGGACAGCCGATCAATGATTCTCTCTCATCATTGATGTTTCTATCTCTCTCTCCCTCTCCCCTCTTCTCTGAAATCAATAAAAATATATATTTTTAAAAGAATCATATGTGCCCACTACCAGTCTACTATTCTCTCAGACTACCCTGGGATCGCTCCGAATACATTTTTCCAATCATGTATATAGTTGGGAAATCCAACTAGATGAGATGAGCTCTGCAGATCATCAGGCCTCTGCCAACAGGGAGGCTCATTTAGATAAAGTACAGTTTAAGAGAAGTAGGGTTCTCTTCTTTACTTCCCTAAACTGCTCTGCTCAACTGCCCAGGAGAAGAAAGAGCCAGAGATCAAGGACTTGAAGAGGCAGGGAAGATCACAATCCATTAATATATTTTGTTGCTCCTCTTTTAGATCCAGCTATTACCTCATGTCCCACTGCCTCTCATTCTGACTTCATAGGCCCGACACCCAAGCTGCCATCAGCATTGACTTAAAGTGTGTGCTTGAAGGACCCTCACAAAACCCAGCCTTGTTAGGAAGCTACTCACAGATTTTCCTGTAGCTTGGCGGAGTCCTGCTTAGTTTCTAGTTGGCTCATCAAATTCTTTAGCTGAACAGCTGCAGAGAGGGAGGAGAAAGACTTGTTTAAAAAAAAAAAAATAGATTCATCATGAGCACCCTACATCTAAGATCACCAGTTTCTTTCTACATCCTGAACAAATATGTGCAACTAACAGAGATTGCTATGATCAAAACCTTGGCATATACATTCCCTTTAAAACTAAATTCCTGCCCAGCTAGCATGGCTTGGTGGTTGGGCATTGACCTATGAACCAGGAAGTCACGGTTCAATTCCTGATCAGGGAATACTGGTCAGGGCACATGCAGGGCTGCGGACTGATCCTCAGTAAGGGGTGTGCATGAGGCAGCAGATCAATTATTTTCTCTCATTGATGTTTCTCTCCCTTTCTCCCTCTCCCTTCCTCTCTGAAACATCAATGAGAGAAAATAATTGATATATATTATATATATATATATATATATATATATATATATACTAATTTCGGGGTTCACCTTTGTCTATAGAGTAACTAAATCTCTAAGTGGAGGGTGGTGGTTTTGTTCATCATCCCCAAAGAACTTCCAAATTTCCCATGGCACTGGATAATAATGTAATAACCTTTCTTTTATTTATTTATTTAATATATTTTTTAATTGAGTTCAGAGGTAAAGGGAGAGGGAAAGAGAGATTGAAACCTCAATGTCATCTCTAGGAGGAGGGGTATGGGGGTCTCAGAAAAGGAACAATGGCCTCTGCCAGCACTTTTGTGTGACAGAAAGCCACCCACCCCAGCTTTTACCCTTATAACAAACAATTCAGTTTCTCCCCTCATGTCCCTGCTGCCTTTCAAGCTGCTGGCCTCCGGAACTGGAACACAGAGGGAGTAAGTCAGAGTAAGTCCATTGAACTGTTTAATCAAATCTAAGTGATGGTATACAATGGTCGGCAAACTCATTAGTCAACAGAGCCAAATATCAACAGCACAACGACTGAAATTTCTTTTCTTTTTTAAATATATTTTTTATTGATTTTATACAGAGAGGAAGGGAGAGAGATAGAGTTAGAAACATCTATGAGAGAGAGTCATCGATCAGCCGCCTCTTGCACACCCCGCACCGGGAATATGCCTGCAACCAAGGAACATGCCCTTGACCGGAATCGAACCCGGGACCCTTCAGTTCCCAAGCCGACACTCTATCCATTGAGTCAAACTGGTCCCGGCTGAAATTTCTTTAGAGAGCCAAATTTTTTAAACTTAAACTTCTTCTAACGCCACTTCTTCAAAATAGTATTTTGTGGAAGAGCCACACTCAAGGGGCCCAAGAGCCACATGTGGCTCAAAAGCCACAGTTTGTCAACCACTGACGTACACTGTCATCTTGATGGGAAGTCTCCTATCTATTGTCTTTTTGCATCTACAATAACATACCTTTGGAATGTCAAAGTGACCTTTTCCAGACCCCTCAGGACACAGCCATCACACCAGAGCACCAGAACATGAGGCCACTGAACCTCTCCTTGTTATCTTACTGTGCGGATATATTCCATCTTTGTGTTGTAATTGATATAACTATCCTGTATCTACCAAGTAAAAGAAGCATGTGTCTCTTTGTTTTACTTTTTATCCAATTTCAGAGATTTCCCTGCTTTGCCTTCTCCCACATCTCTAATCTACCAACAATGGACTTCACGTAACCACCCCCTTCCCAAGTCTCCTCCTTTGATTCTAATGAATAAAATAAACTGTAAGCCCCTGAGGCACCTGTTATTAACTAGTGACTTCTGCCAAAATATTCAGTTTAAATATATAGAAATATGGTTTACCCAAAACATGAAAATTAAACATCTAGAGCCTCTCGGGGCACTCTTAAAAATAATAATGAGCTGTAAAACTGCCATTATCTGGAGCATTTTCTCAATTCATTGAGATTTTGCTTTCTGGCAATTGTCATCGGTTTGGCTCAAATAAACTCTTCTACAAGACTTTTTCTTAAGCTGGACTTCCTTTAGAGGACAGTCTCAAAGTCTGATAAGAAACAATGATTAAAGAAAGTCTTCTAATTGATTGTTGGGTGACTCTACTCCTAAGTGGCAACTGAACAATCCAGTCCTTAGCAATATGCACAAGTTACTCCTCCCTAGCCAAAACAATCACTATATCATGGATGTTTGAATCCAAAATTTCTAAAGTCAAGAACATTTAGGTTGATAGCACTTTTTCCACTTTTTCCACAAAAATCCTCACTTGAGGATATTTTTCCATTGATTTTTAGAGAGAGCGGAAGGGATGCAGAAGAGGGAGAGAGAAATATCGATGTGAAGGAGACACATCCATTGGTTGCTTCCCACATGTGCCCTGACTTAGGCTGGGAATCCAACCCATGACCTTTAGGTCAATGGGGCGATGCTCTAACCACTGAGAAAAACAGGGCAGTTTTATAGCACTTTTAGTTATAATTTTATCTTATTTTGAGACTATGTTTTTCTAGCAAAAATGTAATAATTTTATAATGGAAATATAGGATTCACTTGATTATAGGAAGATGTAATCACTATAATCACTGCATTCTGCTAAGATAGCATTATATGACCAGCTGGTGTGGCTCAGTTGGTTGAGTGTTCACCAGGAGACTGCCCATTCCATTCCCAGTCAGGGCACATGCCCTGCTGCTGGCTTGATTCCCAGAAGGGGCAGGAGCAGCTGATCAATGTTTCTCTCTCATGGATGTTTCTAACTCTCTCTTCATCTCTTTGAATCAATCAATTAAATAAATAAATAAACAAACTAACTAACTAATAAATAAAAGCACAGCATTATATAAGCTATAAACCATTTTTCACATGAATTCTTTCTTATCTAAGTCAAATGGGAATCAGGATATCACTAAAAGTATCAGCTGGCTAGCCATATATATAATTTATGAAAGAGAGCAGACATTCAAATTTACTGAACATTTACTATGTGTTATTGGGCTATATTCTCAATATAGCATAATAAAAAGTGTATTTGATCTTTGTTTCTGGTTCTTGGCACAAAGCTCCTAAAACCCTTGGGATTTCCTAAGTGATAGGATTTCCTTTGTTATTAATGAAGAGCCCCTTGTGAGCACGTCAAGTTTATGCTAATGAGGTGGACTTGGGTGGGGCCTCTAAATAACTTTAAATTTGGTGGACTGGTCACCACAGTGACCAAATGATTAAAAGATTGGAACTTTTGGACAGACCCTGGGACCTCTCATTTTGGCCTGTTTCACGTAAATGAGGTTTCCAAATTGTACAGTTCTGATTGGCCTAAATCATGCAGTGATGAATGGTTGGTATAGATGCAAATGAGGATATTATTTGCATAGTTCTGACTGAACTGGGCAGGTCCCAGTCCCTTGGTAGAAAGACTAAAACCAGGGATCCCTGCTGTGGTTGACTCAGACAGTATAAACAAGTGAAGGGTGGGGAGGTATAGTGCAGAGTTCAGTCACAACATTTACTCTCAATTATCTTACATTTTAAGGGAAAGAATAAATAATAGCGTATGCCAGGTTGTTGTAAGTACTCTAAAGAAAAGTAAATTCAGGTCAGGGCTAGAATAGCGGGGTGAGGAGTGGGTACCAGTTTATACACAGGGTGGTCAGAGAAGATTCTGACCAGGTGACACTGAGCCAAAGATCTTTGAGGAAGTAAAAGGTCCAGCCATGTAAGATTCTGGGGGAGAAGCTTTCTAGCAGAAAGACTATCAAGTACAAAGTCCCCAAGGCAAGAGCACTTGGTGTGATGGAGGAACAAAGAGAAAGCCAGTGTGACAAGAGAAAGAGAACAAACGTGGCCAAAGAGGTAGGGCGGAGCTAGATTGTATAGGACCTTATAACCTAGTACAAGGACTTTGGATTTAATGAAATGAGAAGCCTCTGGGTTTTTGTTTTTGTTTTGTTTTTTTAACATATTTAATTGATTTTTTTTAACAGAGAGGAAGAGAGAGGGATAGAGAGTTAGAAACATCGATGAAAAAGAAACATCGATCAAGCTGCCTCTGCACACCCCTTACTGGGGATGTGCCCGCAACCAAGGTACATGCCCTTGACCAGAATCGAACTCGGGACCTTTCAGTCCGCAGGCCAACGCTCTATCCATTGAACCAAACCGGTTTTGGCAGAAGCTTCTGGGTTTTGAGCAGAGTGTCAGAATAACCATAATTCAAACCCAAAACTAATTTCAGTGGCTGTATTCTTTGTACCACACTGTTATCAAAAGGCTGCCGCTTAAAGGAAATAGAATGTAGACGCGGGGCAGGTCTCCAGAGCCCAGTGTTCCACTTAGCCCCACCTTGCCTATCTGGTACCTCCCTAGCTTAATAGCTCTCCACTCCTTGCTCTCTAACTTGCTCCTTTCCCAACTTCCTCCCACCTACGAGAATAGTCCTGTGTACTCACCAGAGTGACAGGCACTCAGTGGGTATATAAGTAATTACTGAGTAACTGAGTAAGCCTTCCTTTTACATCATGACACTTCCTTTAAGGCAGAAGGTCTGAATGAACATGAGCTAGCAAGAGTGAGACCTGAACTCTAAACCAGACCTGACCATTAACTAGGTTTGTGGCACCACTCAAGTCATTTCATGTGCGGGGTCTCTCTTCACCCACTGTGGATGATATTCAGGTTGAACTACCATATATTGAGGACTTACTATTTGCCATTGTACTTTTTATCTATGTGGGTGGATTTGTTTTCTCATTAAATCTTTACAACTCTGTGAGGATTAAATGATCTCTAAGTATTCCCACTACTGCTCAATGCTAAAATTCAGTAATAACAAAGAAGCTCTTTGAAATTAAAAATAAAATAAAAAGCTCTAGTCCCAGAATGATGCTATGTAACCAAGGAATTATTTTGCAAACCAGAATTTGGCTTAGAGAGGCTCCATCAGTGTACAAATGGGACTGGACTGATTACATGCTGCTGGAGAGCAGGGACACATCCTACTCATTTTTGTATTTGCATAACTACACACACACACACACACACACACACCCCTCTAGATGACACATGAATAGATCTTACAAAA